ACTGGAAATCAAGCAGAAGTGTGATCTTTAATCCCTTTGTTACTCTAAATGGCCTTTTGGACTTCAATATACTTGTGTTTATTCCATGATTATTGTACTTAGTTTGATGTTGTTAAACTGCTTCACGAATTAGGATCTGCTTTGGAGAAGGACTCCCCTGCTAGAATACCTCAAACATCTCCAGAGCTGAGTACATCTCTTGTGATGGAAACTGTTATAGCTGGTGAGTGGGAAAGGGAGGAAAAAACATTACAGTGCCATGGAAATGGTCCACTCTGGATCACCAACAAAGCCAACTAGATTCTTTTTGTCAATCAGAAAAAAACAGCGGGGAAAGCATGAAATCATAAGATCCCAAGTATATATGGTCACTGGTGTACTTTGCAGAGGGCCTCTCAGTACTTTAATTTTTATTTTAATTCCTTAATTCTCAGTTGTTATGCAACTCTTCTTATTGTTTGCACCATCTAAATATAAGCCAGTCTAATCTAGTGTGGACATACACAAACATCTCAAAGTCAGATTGCATCCCTCAATCTTGCTTTTACATTCTCACTTTTTGATAATGGCTTTTACTAGCAGCCCAGTTTAAAGTCTTAATTTTATCTAATTCCTCTAAATGCACAATGATTCTTCAACTGGAAAGGAAAAAGAGCAGCTCTGAATGATCCATATGTTGAAGTACTGTATTTTCATCATTTAAATGATAAACTTCCCATCAAATATCCACAAATGTACATTCACGATTCCCATCCAGTGATCTATTGGCCAGAGGCACATACATTGTTTTAATTTATTTTGGAGTAAAGGTGCTTTCCTGCCGAGTTTGAATAAGCTTGCTATGTACGAAACAGATGTTCAATAAAAGAGAGACTTTACTGAATATGACATATAAACACGGGGAAAGAGGACGAAGAAAGGAAAATTACAGGAAGTGTGCATTCCTGGTTCATCAAACAACAGGCCACAGTTCTAATCAAGGTCCTTTTATAGATGGCAGTAATGAAGCAGAAGGAGTGGGGATGTCTTGGGAGAAAGTAACATTTATGCTTAGCTCCTGGTGGAATTGGTGAGCCCACTGAGATACTACATAGTTTTCTTTGCAGTAGTATGATGGCTTCTGTAGTTGCTGACATTTTCCTCACATCACAGGGGGAAAATATATATATATATATATATATATATATATATATATATATATATAAATATAAATTCATCTGCACGATCTGAGATAATTGCAGTGTCTGAGGTGGGCACCTGAGTATTTCTTCCTCTTGTGTAAAATACCTAATGTTGCTCTGGCCAGGGAAACTCTTGTATCTATTCAGATGCACCTGTCATGGCATAAGAGCAAAGCTGGCCTGATACAGCATTGCTGATGGGAGATCAGAGAGGGAATGCTGCCTTTGAGATAAGCAGGCTCTGCTTTGAAGGGCTTCTCCTTTGTGTAAGAATCCTGTGGTGGGAATATCCACCTGCTGGGGGATGTCTCCCTGGTGGGCCACCTCCTGAGTGGGACACCAGAAGGAAAAGCCCCCACTGTCCACTCTCACAGAGTTGTGTGGGGGAAAGGCTGGATTTATGGATGGTTGTGTCAAGGTGATTCTTTGTGCCAGATCTGTCATGGCTGGATCCCATAAACAGGTTTGTCTCACTCTGCTTTCCAGTATTGATGCATCAAGGTGGTGAAAACCTTTTGTACTTCAATATAGTTGTGGGCACTTTGGTAAAATCTGATGATACGGGAGGTAAACTCTCCCCATCTGCATCAGTTAGCACAATCAAAATCATTCCTAGTAAGAGGGGTGATGTCCTGGCATGCAGAGGAGGAAAACCTACATGAATGTCTTTAGGCTGCTGAGGGTTTCCATAGAAGGATAATTAAATCAGTTTGTGCTGGAACTTCAAAACACTCAGAACAAACCTTACTTTTACAGCACCGCTAAGGCAAAAGGAAGACTGTGATGAGGAGTATCATGTTTGGTTGGGTTTGTTTTTGCTTTTTAATATAGCCTTTTCGAGAGTCTCATTAGCAGTTCACAACACAATATATTTGCTGGTCTTTTAAGCGTACAAACAAATGCAACTGCATCCCGAGAGGAAGAGGCACATACATGGTGCAAGATGTTTTGGTGGGGTCTGTAAACCAGTGCTGGAAAAAGGAATCCCATTTGGGATCAGAAGTTTCAAACATAAAATCGCACTAATGATACCAATCAGTATCACCAAAGATATTTTAGTTCTAGCTTACATGACAAGGAGGAGTATGTTTCAAACAGCTGGTGCTGAGGAGCACCCAGCACTCCCTGAGACTCTTGAGAGCATTATTGAAGCTTGGTGGCTTGATGCTGCTGCTTCCCAAAGGTTAAGCTGCTGTTAGGACTGAGAGAAATGCCTTTTTATCAATAGTTATTAAGCTGAATCTCCATACGTGTTACTCAGATAGGAACGCGCAGCCACTTTCAATGGCAAACTTTCTTTCAGCAAGTTCTCAGTTATAAAAGGAAAGTTTCCATCTCTCCCACAGGCAGAGTATTCTGAGCCTTTCTTAACACTCCCACACTCACTTAAAAAGGAAAAAAAAAAAAAAGAAAAATACCTTTCTACTACCTACAAAATGTGCATTTTCATTTTGTCACGTGCAAAATGATTATCAAATATGGAGGCTCTGCACCTCTGAGCTTATCAGCTGCAGGTCTGAAAATCCATGGAGAGTTTTCAAGTAACTGAGCATAAAAAGAAACATCTTCATTTCTGAACAGCTTAAATGCATTTCTTCTTTCTCCTTTATTTTGCATGCCTCTCTAGGACAAAAAAGAAAAATGGAAAAGTGCAATTTCAGGCATGTTCACTGCATGTTCACAAATCAGTTCCAGCCATCATTGCACAGGGCTGGGGGCTGGTTGCTGCTGGGCAAAATTGTCATTGCTACAGGCCAAATCCCTCAGTGTAATGGGTCAGGTAGAGTGTTGGGAAATCTGTTTTGTGGGATCCAGGGCAAACTTCAAGTCCAGCCATTGAGAAACATGTTCTTTTTTCCCTTCCGCTCAGGAAAGCTCTTGAGTTCCTTATTATGAAGTTCTAACAAAGCAAACGTTGAAGCGCTGTCTGGGCATGAATTCAGGACACAAAATAGCTGACTCATAGAATCATTAAGGTTGGAAAAGACCACTAAGATCATCTAGTCCAAACGCCTTCTCATCGGCACTGGTCCCACTAAACCATGTTGCTGCAGAGCTCAGCACACTGCAGTGCTCTGTGAGTTGCCAGTCCTACTTGGGGCAATGCTGAGGTGCTGAGCAGAAGAGGAACTGCACCAAGCCTAGCCCAAAAACTGAGCCAGGCTGGTAGGCTGTAGAGCCAGGAAAGCAAAATATGGGAAGATTTGAAAAAAAAACCTGGGTGATGTTTTGAACAAGACGCTCTGGTGGTCTTAATAATTCCCCAATCACAAACATATGAAATGAGCCCTTGATGAGAAAGGTCTGATTACAAATAACCTGCAGAGAGATGAAAGTTTGCTTTTAATATGGCTTGTTTTTTTTTTTTTTTTTTTAAGTCTGCTTTAGACTTTCAAGAGGCTTCAAAAGAAGGCAAAGACTTGAAAACAGTTTGATTTAATACTGTTAGATGTGTGAAATAAAATGCTGGACAATAAGAGATGTAAAACAGGCAACAAGTGCAAATGACTTAAATCAAATTAAAGAGCTAATTGAAAATAATGGAATTAAAACCTTTTTTTTTTTTTTTTTTTTTTTGTTTTTATTCATCTGCTTTACATCACTTTTTGCAACAGCATTTTTTTTAATCTTTTTTACTTTGAAGAACAAACTTTTCCCATCATGAAAGACAACGATTTTAATCGGTATATGAATTGTCATTCTATGGGGATAAAGCATGCCGGGCAGGAAGAGAAGCACCACCAGCACAAACCAGCAGGATTGTCAGGCAGCCATAGGCTTTTGTCCTAGAGGCTCCCTGAGACAACATCATGGCACCAAGTTGTTTTATCTCCCACTGCCTCATTGGCACTTCTTTACTTCCATTCTCTGCCCTAGCTGAAGGACACAGTTCTGAGAAAACTTTTTGCTCAGATCACCTAATATATATTTCTGTTCTTAAAAAAAGGCTATGAGGACCTTCTAGCACAGTCTTCCATTGAGAAAAAGGAGGGAAAAGCCAATGGAGGAATCATGAGAACCATTCCCTTGCCCATGGGAGCACTATTTTTTAAACAATGTTCTTTCCCTTAAGTACTGACTTTATTAACAGGGAGAGGGGAAGTGAATGTCTGCTCGGCGCCAGAAATGGCATAAAGAAATCACATATGAGACTCAAGCACAAACCATGACCACTCACAGCTCCCTACGATTGGTGCAATATCCAATCAGTCTCAGTGAGGTTTTTCAGGAAAAGGGGTTAAGAAAAAAAAAAAAAAGGAAAGAGGAAGAGAGAAAACCAACCCCAGTGCATTCCCATAATGATGGGTCTAAAAATGCCCCACTATTGATGCAAAATTACAGTTATTGTTTATCCTCCTATGCCTACTTTACACAGTTTTATACAATACGCACCAGGAAAAATACAAGCAAACAACCACCACATTAGTTAAGAGACCTTCCATTTTACTTTGGCAGTTCACGATAATGGAATTTAATTGTGGAAAAAGCTGAATAATTTTAGCTGAATGTCATTTGGTTCATTCAAACTGGGAATCAGGGACATTTTTAACAAAGGTTTTCAAACTTCTTTTGAAATCAGGAAGCTGCTGTGCACAGATAAGGGGAGAGGTTTGAGGATTCTCTATCAGAAATTTCAAGGTTTTTTCCATCTGCTTTTTCACATTAACTGGTAATTATCCAGAAAGGCACATAATAGTGCAGAAATGACAGAAGCTGACAAAGGTTTTCCTAAGATATGTAAATTGTCAGTGATAGGCAAGGTGCAACAGAAAGGCTTTCTACAGCACAATTATTTATGCCAGTTTCATTTGCTTTTAGGTAGCACTGATGGCATACTGCACGGCCATGCTTATCGCACGCGCTGCACATTCCCTCTGCCACCAGCAGCTGCACACACTGTGCTCCCAGCGTGTTGGGCTCCTCTGGCTCCAGTGTTTCGCACCGTGCCCGCCTGCATGCAGATATTGCTGAGAAGTCTCCTCTTCGAGAATTCCCGCCTTCGTTTCTCCAAACAAACAGGTGAAACCCTTCCCATCGGAACAGCCCCGTTGGCAGTAGGGCTTTCATACACAGTGCCAGCGCGCGTGGCACAGCACTGTCCCAGCAGTCACAGGGTGAGTTGAGTCTGTGCCATGCAAGCACAACGATGGAGAGTGGCTGGTTGATAAATATCCCCTTTCAAAATGAGAACTTGAGATTCCGAGCCATCCAGGGAGGTCAGTTCTTGTTTTTAAGCAAAGCTTAAGAGAATTCATTGTGCTGTGCACAGATGAAATTCCTGCCTGATCCCAGCCTGGTTCGACTCACACCAGTTATGGGCTTTAATTGACTTTTTCTGGAAACTGGATTTCATATGTAACTACATACGTGATGAGTGAAGTTCTTTAATGGATGAAAGTGAGTACTATTGGTGATAATGGATTTTAGTGAGTACTCTTGTGATAGGTGGATGGTTGGACTGGATGATCTTGAAGGTCTTTTCCAACCTTAGTGATTCTGTGATTCTGTGAAAAGACTTTACGTCTTGGGGCCTTATGTAGCAGTACCAGAGATATTATGGTGGTATAACTACTTTACATAACTGTGTGAGTGATGGCAAATTACGGTGATAGGGGTATTGCTATGGGGTGGGGAGAGGGGTGGGAATAATTTCCTTGAAGGTAATATTATGTTATTGGGAGCTGTGAGAAGGTAGACAGTAAAGCAGTACAAGAGATTTATATGTATTAAGAAGTCTGATACACTGCATTTGAAGTTGATGGGTTTAGCTATTAGCTGCGAGGATATTTCCTCCTTGTTCAAGTTTTGAGCAAGGTGAGAAGCAGTGTCCCAGTTATAAGGGGCTTTGCATCTTCATTGCAGGTTTGGCTAAGTAGTCACACCAACATAAACCAAACATACCCATTTTTTAAGGAGAAACTGATATACTTTGAACTCCAATTAGTGGTCTATTGCCTCAGGGAGGAGAACTTAGGCACATACCTGCCAGCAAAAAAGTGCAGACTGAAAAATGCCCAGCATGAACTCGTAACTGAAAAGGTTGAAACTGATGGCCAGGTCTCATTCTGTTGACTTGAGGTTAGACATCATTTGGCCAACTCAGAGGTCACTGAATCCCTTGAGTCTGCTCAGGTATCAACCCCAGCAATGCTTCTCCCCACATTTAAATTAGAGCAGAACCTTGTGTCTATCAGGGCTGTGAAGAGGACTTTTGATGCTCTGTGCATGGTGGGACTAATGACCTCAAGCGTAGACATGAGGTTAGGGATGCAACTTGTGAGCAGTCAGACTTACCTGCAGAGTAAGTCTTACATTTCAGCCATTAAATAATTGCAGCAAAATGCTCAACGCCTGTCTACACCCAGAGAATTGCTTACTAAAACTATTCAGTAAATAATTGTGAATAATGATTCCATCAAAGGAAATTGCATACTGAAAAAGGTGTGAAATCCAGTAGATGAATTATTCACTTCAATTTATTTGTTCAGCCAAACTACTAAAGAGTAGAAATAAGGACTTCAGAGGACATGGGAAGACACAGGGACAGTGTAAAATGGCAAGAGAATGTAAAGTAGCCCCAGGGCTGGGGAGGAACTTGTCCACTTGTGATGCATCCGGGTGCCGGGCTGAACTTCTGGGTGTAGGTATGCACGTGTTCTGTGACATACAGCTTAAATGGCCTTTATATACTTTTTGGTGCTTGATAACGAGATGGAGAGGAGAATGTATTTCCAAGTCATCTCCTTGAAGCATTTTGTGTTGTAAGCGTATAAAGCAGTTTGACTCAACTACATCAATTTAATTTGTGATGAGCCCAGTGCCCCCAGAGATGTGTGTGATGTTGGCTTGGCTGTTACGGGATTTCACTCCTCAGACAGTTTTGTATATCTGATGAGCTTCATGTTAAAAGAGGATGAGTTTAAAAAACATGAAAAACTTTGATGAAGTAATGTGCAAGAAAAACATCTGTTCTTTTTAGAGACAATGTCCCTTTGCCAAAGCACAGTCATCTATAAAATACCCACTCAGTACCCCTTGCTTCTGTTGTAATCAGAAGCTCCAAATTTCATAAATGTTCCTGATTTATCCAATGGGATGGTGAAAGGTTCAAAGTTGGAAGAGATTTCTAGTGCTATATTTTGCCTAAAAGTCCTTTGCTGTAAAATTTGGGTGTGCTTTAAGCGAGCCATGCTCCCCCTGATACATCTTTCTTAGGGATGCTGAAAATAATTTATAAATGGTCACTGGGAACAGGAGCTTGAACATTAGGAAAACATTTCTTCTCCAAAAGAGTGATTGTGCACTAGAACAGATTGCCCGGGGAGGTGGGGGAGTCAACGTCCCTGCAGGTATTCAAGAACTGTGGAGATACGGTGCTTAGGGACAGGGTTTAGTGGGCAATATTGGTGATAGGTGGGTGGTTGGATCAGATGATCTTAGATGCCTTTTCCAACCTTAATGATTGCATGGTTCTTTCTCTCTGGGTCATAAAAAGATTTTCTGAAAAGAGCAATGCTGAAGAAAATCTTTAAAGCAAATTCTCATTGACCACAGTCTTCCAGGTTCTGTGCAGTGAAGACAAAGCTTCCAAACGTGATATCCAGCATTGGGGCAGGAATTCGAATAGGAAGCTGTGGGGTTCTAAATGCAGAAAGCTGGTCCAAATGTATTGTCCAGATTATCTGTTGTTGTTGTTGGTTTGTTTTGTTTTTCTTTCCTGCAGCCTCTTGCCATGCTTTGCAAGAAAAAAAAAAAAAAAATTAAACATATTTCAGAGTCATTGAACTGTGCTCACATTAACTTACACTAAAATTATTTTTAATTAAATGAACTTCCCCTGTTTGTAGCTGGAAGGTACTTATGTGAGATAAAAACTCCATTCTAATAAGGCTGAGCCTCACTGCCACTTAATTAGCACCAGGACTGATGGCAGAGGCAGCGGGCGGGGGCTGCCAGGTCTGGGGGAGCTGCTCCCTCCCCAGCAGCCCCGGCCGCACGGCACGCCGGGAACAGAGCACGACCAGTGTTTGACACAGTTTATGGCAAAAGCAATTATAATTAACATTATATTAAATATTAAGTCAAGATCATAAAATGTTGATTGGTGCTGATTAGCTGCATAATCCATAATTAGAAATCACTGCACCCTTCACCAGGTAGTGTAGTGCTTCGCTTATGATTTCACTGCTAAATTAAATGACTGATTCAGCTTTTGCCCTGAGTTTTATTATAATTTAGGTCAGAACCACATTCCAGTGAAGCAAGACACAAGCCCTCTTCCTGCTGAGGATGCTCCCAACACTCCATCCCAAGCTCAGCTTTTTTATGTCTTTACATCTATTTTATCAGTGATGGCCTTGGCTGCAGACTTGTCCACAACTTTCCATTTAATTTTTGTATGAATTTTTTGTATTTCCGTAGAATGTTTTTGCCAAAATCTGCTGTAGCCTGGCCATTGGGAGAACATGAAGCACAACAGCTCCTCACAGTGCTGCAGGCACTTGAGGCTGGGCAGAGCCCAGGACACGCAGTTGATGAAATCATTGCAATCGTGATGCTCCACTGATTCAAACTAACCAATGTTTTGGCTAAATGACAGAGAAAGCAGCCTTGCAGAGGGCGTGCAGCCAGGAGGCAACAGGGCTGCTAGCCAGGCAGAGAGAAATGCAAGATTCCCTGCAGCTGGCATCATAGGATGCCCCCACCAGATCAGGCTGCTTGGAGCTCCATCCAACCTGGCCTTGAGCACCTCCAGGTATGAGGCACCTACATCTGTGTATATCAGTGGTTATATTTTGATGTAAAATATGGTGTTAAGCTTGCAAATCTTCTCTCCTTCTTTTATGGGATGGGATAGGGAAGATATACTCTGATGTATAAAAAGGAGAATTTCCTCCCTATGTGTTAGGCAGGATGCGATGCTGCATCCCAGTATAAAACCGTATTCACATCCACAGCACAGCCCTCATCTCCTGCCTGTGATATGTAGAGGATCTTTCCATCCAGCAGACAGCTTTGTGGCTCATCTCAGAGCAAAGCTGTCTATTTTTGCCTGCAGAACCAATGCATTAACATGGAGGAGTGGCACCAACAAGAATCGCTGGAGCTGCTGCCCGGCACCCAGTCCCCTATTTCTCCTTCAAATCTTTTTTTCCCAATTAAATTAATTTAAAATGAATGAAAAAATGCGTCATGCCCTAAGATCCTGAAAGCTCTGGTGTCAGCTGAAAGCAGCATTCCTGCTCCCAGCTGCAGCCCTCGCTGCAGGCACCTCTGCTTTGAAGCCTTTGAAGTGGCTGTGGCACAGGCAAGGCTCTCTGTGGAGAAAGGCAGTCATTTTATATATATTTAATGTGTAAAGTGTGGGTGTTTGTGTTAGCATAACCGATTCTCACAATGCACAGAGAATGTTGTGGAAGAGTTCTTGACCTGCAGAACCAAATTGCAGGAAAAAACCCCCAGCGGTCATGGTAGGATGGGTCCTTCCCACCCCAAATTGTATAAATTGGGTAAGTGAAGCCAGACAGCTGCAGATGAAAGCATGAAAAGTGCTTCTTTGGTGCTCATTTTATAGATGAATTTATTGTTTATAAGAGCGAGTGACTGAAACATTTCTTCCAGCATTGGGATTTACTTTTAGTGGAAAGAATGCTGTTGGGATGTGATGCAAGAACAATGCAATAAATGTGATTAATGGTTGGTTTTTGGAGCTAATTACTGGGCTCACTTGGTAATGACCTTGATCCTAGGAGCGCTGTGTGTGGCTTGGGAGGCAGACTGTGTGTGAGAGATGATCTGATATATGGTTGTATGTGAGCGAAGGACCCACCTCAGCAATCACTGGCACTAATTCAGTGGTTGATTTGTCTAAATTGATAAATTTCCCTACGGTTTATTTATTATTTTTTTTTCAAGGAGAGATTCAAAATTGATGCCTCTATTTCAGAACCAACACCATTTATTCACCACACACCACGATCACTCCAGCCTGTAAAGGACAAGGTTTCAGCTCCAGCTCCTCAACCATCTCATTGCATGCCATCAGAGCAACAGTGCCGTGTGCTCTGGTGAATGACTCCTCCAACAGACTGTTTTTCTTCTCGGCATTCGTCGCTTGCTCTTATATTTATTTATTTATTTACTTACTTACTTACTTATTTATTTACTTATTTATTTTATCTATCTATTTATTTTCTTGCTTTTATGAAGCCATCATTAATCTAATCAGTGAATGTCGCACAAGAATATTTTCTCTTTTTTGCAGACCCTAACGCTTATCAAACTTCGGTCTACTCTTGCACAACTAAACATTCTGTATCTACCATTTGGGTTAATTAGAGTGCATCCTTTACAGCTCTGATAACAATCAGTATTGTACCATCATACATAGCATCTTTTGGATTCAGGAAAGAGTTTGTGCGACTAAGAAATATGAAGTTCTAGAAGATGAGAGCATCACATGCACTCATTACAGCTCTGGAGATAAATGCAGCACCTTCAATACACCTTAAAAATAGATAATTGTTTTGAAGAGGTGGAGAGTATTCATGGGAAAGAGATGAGAAGGAAGAAAGAAGATCCTCTGAATACTCAGCATTGACGTGGAGCCAAGCAGAGTTGCAAGGAGCCTTCTCTGGTCCTTTCAGTGCATGGTGACAGGGCTCTGTGTCCCAAGAGAAAGAGTGGTGAAGTGAATGAGGAAACAAATGCATTTCTGTAGGTGATGTATTTTTTTCAATTCAGATGCTTTTTGAAGGAAGTAGGGGAGAAAAATGTACTTCTCAAATGTCAAGTACTTGAAAGACTAAAAATAGATCACCGGAATAAATAAATTAACCCAGAAGAGAGGACTGATGCTCTGCAGGCATCAGGGATTAAATAAATTCGCTAAATTCAAAGTGGTATTCCAGATAAGAGCTCTTTGTGCTGCAGCATGTACAGCTTATTGATTATAGGATTGAGGTGCTGTGCACTCTTGTAAAATGTACTCCGGCTGATACAACTTAATCCTGTGGTAATGTACAGCATACAGCCCTGCACAACAAGCATGGAGCTAGCTTATATTTTCTTGTTTATTTTAATTTTGTTCCTGCCTTCATTTGCCGCACCACATCTGTGCCCTCTCATTCCCAGGCAGCACTCAGCATAAGTGCTGAGGTGCCTTCAAACACACTGACTCAGCATGATAAGAGCTGTGCTGCCAAGCAGGAGCTGACAGGGAAGAGTCTGTGGGAACTTCCTCCTGTCACATCCCCATCCAGAGGAAGGTAAAGCCTGAGCACCAAATTCTTTCCTTGTATGCCATGGGCTGGCTGCAAGGTTGGGACCCCAAGCACTGGTGATGCCTAGTTGACACAAGGGGCAGAGCGTACAGAGACATTCTCTCTGCAGACATACATGCATCCATCAAAGTGTTGGAAGTATGCATAACTAAGGTGAAAGCACTCCCTGTTGGATTCTTCTGGGCATGCAGAACAAGTAGAAAGCTTTGTAAGTCCTGCTGGGTGAAAGCAAGCCATTCCAGAGTGAAATTATACACCTAAGTGCATTTTGGTTATCTTACAGTTAATATCCTCAATCTCCATCATTACTAAAGAGAAAAACCATCTCCTGATATGAGCTGGTGCTTACAGACATGTCACAAGCACAATGAAGGCCTATCCTCAGCCTTCTGCTTGGGTGTCAGTGTGTTCCATTGGTCTCATCCTGCATCACGTCCCCTCCTGAGCCCACAAACCCCAACCCTAGCAGTTGGAGAAGGCAGGGAGGGAAAGGAAGGATGCACCTTGGCATTGTCTGTGATGGGCTCATAGTTGGGCTCACACCTTTGCTCTCAGAATGGAGACTCTCTGTTCATACCTGTTCGCACAAAGAAGGCAACAGCTGTTTTCTGAAGTAGAGACACTACTCTCACCTTCCTGGCCAGATGTGGAACATCAAAGGAAGATCTCCTGCCTCTACTGCTCAAACCAGATCTTTGCAGGTTGCTCCAAAGAGCTGCAGACCTGTGGAGTTTTACCACAGGATTTGTCGAGAAAGATGACACAATCCCAGTCTGCCAGTGGTGACAGAAAGCTGCAGAGCACAGCAGTGCTACTGTCATGCTGGGAAGATTTGGTGCATCCCTTCTTGAGGTTGCTGCCCCTCACCTAGCCCCTTACCTTAAGGAATTCCTGGTTGCTAGTTTTCTCAGTCACCAGTAAAAGTGTGGATCTGACCAAGGAAATTCTGTTATCGTTATTTTTTTTGCCTCCCCTGGGAGAAAGTGATGCAGAGGAACAATTTGAATGAGGGAGCTGCAGAGAATTCATCTTTGGGTAGCATCCCAACTCCCCATGTCTCTCTCCCACCTATTTGACAAATCTCCCATTATCTTACTTCACCAAAATCAAGTCTCTTAATTTCAAGGCACATAGAGTCTACTGTGTAACACTGCCTGTGTGTGTGATCCACAAGGCCTATACTTTAACACCCAAGATTCATTAATATTTCCTGCAGAGTGCTCAGCAAGTAGCAAATAAAGCAGGAAGTGTCCCAGATGTTGGGAAGAAAAAATGGAATAATTCATTGCTTACTAACGTCAAATGCTAATGTGAGAAAAGCATCCTTGAAGAAATCCTTGACTAAAATTCATCAGTGATGTGAAATCACTGTTTTAATTATGCATTTTTGAATGTATTTATTAGTCTCAGTACTGATCTGACTTACAGATGTTTAACAGTGATAAGAGTCTACTGCAGTCTCTGGAATTACTCATGATTTATAATGACAAAACTTGGATCAGAATTAGGTCCTTGTCAGTACTCTATAATATCCTTTCATCAGACTTCTTTACATGCAACAGATGAAAGAGGCCGTGGTTTCCACAATTTCAAACCCTGCTGCTGACTCCATCAACTTATTTTTTTTAAGCTTCTCCTCCAGAAATAATGATTCCCACACAAAATTTTGTCTGTATAAGGCATACTTGCCACAAGAAAAACATGAGGCCAAAAGACCTTTTAGTCCACCAATATGATGTGTTCAATTTTGTGCTGACTACAGATGTTGCATTTTATTACGGGTGCTAGTTAATTTAATTGTGCCAGTGTATAATTTCATTTGCTATATCCTTATTGTTGTGATTGTTAGAATCTGCTCAATATTAGAGTTTAAACAACAAAAAAACCCAACATCTTCCATTCAAGAATGATTCAAAGTCATGATTTTGAAAAGAATGATTGAGTTTTAAACTATTGCTTGTTCCAGAGCTGATCCAGAAGGAGCAAGTCTCCAGGGATGGTTTACTCCCTAAGGCATGAATGCATAATTAAGCTAAATGTATTCCATAAATGCCTTGATGACATTAAACTAAATTTTTTAAAGAACAGATGGAGAAAGTTAATAAATATTTCATTCTGTAATATAAAACTCACTTCTGTATTCACAACTTCAGGGATCCTCAGCTTCACAGATATCAATAAGTCTGATGGATTTCTTGCTGCATTCTCATACTTCTGCCCTGGTGTCTCTTATGGGATCATCATTTCTGCATGCTTGGATTGTTTTATGGGATCAGTGAAAGGCAAGTGACTGTAAATCTTGACCTCTTCTGCTCCTGGATTATATACTTTTATTCTTTGTGACCGTAAGTGTTCATCTCTACACCGAATAGATAATTACATGACAAAAATTATTCAAAGAGAATTTATAGTGAGAAATTATCACTTGAGGAACTGATGGGGCACAGGCATAACCCAAAGAGAGCGAAATTAAAAAAAAAAAAAAAGAAAAAAGAAAAAAAAAAGTTTAAAAATGCCAGCTAAATCACTGAAGTATCAGTGTGTTTGTAATGTCATGAAGCATCTACTCACTGGGGAAAAATGCTCGATTTTCACCTGTATATAACAATTCTAGTCAAACGAAATTCCCCTTAATGGAAATTAGTGTGAGTTTTACTTAAGAACCATAGAACAAGCTTGCTATTCATACGAAAGAACTAATCTTTACATGTGGGAACTACAATTTCTCACTCTGTGTATGCAATGAGTCTTGTAAAAGAGCAATTAGAACTCCAAAAGGAAAGAAACACCAGACTTGAATAATATTTTAGGAAGAGCATTAACAAACATTTTTATATTGCCAAGAGTCTTCGCTGCTTTCTAGAAGAGGTTTACATTACATTATTAATTAAATATACTGAGTCAGTAGTATGACATAAAGCTTTGGAAATATATGTTTACCATAAACTTTGACATCCATGAGAAAAGCATGTATTTTTAGTAAGTTTAATTTAAAATTTATGCAGATGAATTCAGAAAGCAAGGGCCCAACAAACTACTTCAAAATAGCAAGATCTTGACTGAAAAACACAAGATCAACTCTTTGTCATTTCTCAAGTGTCTACAAGCCTTCACATACACAGAATAAATGACATCACCTCCTGAATTTAGATCATTTTACATAGCATTAGTATGCATTACTCTTAGTGGGACCACTTTAACCTGTCAGACAATGTACACTTGCGCAATTGCAAGAATTAAAAAATATATAAATTGTATATAATAAGTCTTTTCAGAGCTGGCTCTTATGCTAGGTGGAATACAACAGGGTCCCCTGGTGAGCTGGCTGACAAACTCTACCATAAAAACAAACAAACAAAAAAAAATCATAGCATCATTGTTCCCGTTTTCTTTCCCCCAGCTCTAATTTTCAGTTTTGGATTGCAAATTTCCACAGCTCTCTGTTCAGGCAAAATCTTAAATGCATCGTAGCACAGTGCTTTAAAGAAATACTAATTAATACATCTCATGTTGCATACCACAGAAATTAGTTTAGTCATTATTAAGAGTTAGGTTAGGCATAGGTACATTTGTATCTTCAGAATCAAGGCTTTTAATGAAAAAAACTCTCATGTTTCCAGACATTCCATTAAAATGGTTGTCCTTTGACGTCAATTAGAGCTAGCTAAAAAAAAATCATCCTTAATTGCTTCTCAGAAAAGATGTCAGAGCATACACCCCCACAGCCACATTCGATTACCTCTTAGAGGAAACGAGGATGCTGGGAATGCTGGGAACCTCCAGTGCTGCTGAACACGGATGGGCCGCGCTGGCAGTGCCGAGCCATGGTGACTGCTGGCCACAGTGGAGGCTGGTCCTCCCACCTGAAACTGCTGCACAGTCCAGAGAGATGCCTACAGGACTGAGAGTGTTTGCATGCTAAGTGCTCCACCCTGCCTCCAAATAACGCTGACTTCAATCACGCACCTACGCCAATATTTACAGCTACAAAAAGGACATAATCTTCAAAACTTGTGTATGTTTCATTACAAGGAGCATCAACAGTTTTCTCCAAGAGTTTCTCAGCACCTTTTCTTACTCAAGTGACTCTGTCATTTCTCTGCCGATCAGGAAGAAGAGGAGCCCAGAGAGCAGCGACAGGGGCACGCCGGCGGCAGCAAGGAAGAAGGACCAGCCATATAACACGTGTACGGGAGCCTCCTGCAGGCACACCTCGCTCCTCTCCAGGAGGATGTACTTCTGGAAATCGGCCACAAGCTCCTTCCACAGCACAAAGAGGAAAATGAGCAGGAGAAATAAACTTCCTGAGAAGAGAGACAAAGGTGGTTATTCTCCAATTACAGCCAGTGTATGAAATTCAGAAAGTTTAAAAGTGAGAAAAAATTGCAACAGGTTCCCATTTATTTTTTCAGGCTAGTGTTCCAGAATGGTGACATTTGTCAGGTTTTCCCTGACAAAGAAGGCAGGAAAAGAGGAAAAGAGAAGAGATGCTCTTTCAAATATCAGATCCTTTTTTCAGCAGAAATACAAGACCTGTGGACTGGTCCTACTGGTGGCAAGCACTGTCTGTTGCTGAACCTACTGCAAGCAGTGCCACACAGACTTCGGCTGGTTGCCCCAGCTCACAGAAGTGCCCCTTCATGTCCTAATGGCCACGATACATCAGCCTCACATGAGCAACTCAATACCAAAGTCAAACAGCCAATTCCAGAGGCCATGGAGTCTTTTTACGACTCAGCGTTAGCATGTGAGACCTCCATGAGCCAGGTGGTGAAGGACTGAGGACACTCCAGGCCTCAAGGTCAAAATCTCCCTCAGCAGCTCTCCCATCAGACCCAGTGCTTTTTATTTCTGTACATACCCCATAGAAGGCCTTGGAGGTCAACCCTCTCACGTCTGAAAAGCACGTGGAGGGCGGGCACCTCATTTTGCTATTCTGATTGCAACACCCCATAACTCACAGTGATGAGGATCTGCATGAAGCAGACAACAAAAAAAAAACCAGTGTGGTCGCAATGTTACTTGTTTCATTGCATTAAAGAATATATATAATGCATTTAAAAGTCAACATATATTAACATTAAATGGTGACGGTGTGACAAAAGATCTGAAGCTACATCAGTAATATCTTATCTCACCACATCACAGCTAGAAACTTGCCATTTTTTAACAGTGCTATATAACATATAGACAGACACACACACGCATACATATATGGAAGAAATACGTCAGAGATGATGGTATGTTCATAATAGAAGTGAACAGTTAGAAATTAATACAGTTGACAAGTCATTGCACAGTTTTGTGGACGCGTTCTGGCATTTCATTCCTCCCCTTGCAATTTTTAAACTAAAGGTAGCTTGTACTATATTTAATTATTCCCCCCAGCAGCTTATGCACTACAAAATCCAGCCTTCATGCTAGGCAAAGGCTGTGGGTATGGCTTGGCATTGATCTATCTGCTTAGGAATGGAGCTTAGTGAAACTTTGCTTGAAGGAAACACAGCAGTGTTGGGCTGTTTCTGCTCATGGTGATATAAGCACATATTGCTATAACATCCTGCTTCACATCTTGTAGCCTGGAATGAGGGTCCAAAACATTCCTCAATCCTCACTAGCAGTTGTATAGAAGTTGAAGCTACTCATACTGAGCTGTCATATTTATTAAACTGCATCCTATGCCCTAGGACTGGGAATTGAATCTTAAAAATCAAAAATTTGTGTAACTGTATCAACACACTTCACATCACCACACTCTGCTATCTCAGACCGTTCTCCCTCCCATAGACAAGTCCTCATGGGCACTGCAAAGGCAGGCTAGGAGTTAAACAGCAGCTGGTGTAACATTTGCATGTTCATTGAGATTGTGATACCACTTGAAATTACATGCACAAATAAATATTTTACACTTAATATGATAGTTGTATGTTTAAAATACCAATTATTCTACTTTAAGAAAATGATTGAATGCTTAAATAGTCACATGTTCTTTACAAAATACAATATATTGATAAGAAGGCAATTAAGCCTTTATTACTGATGTAATTTAAAATTAAATTAATTAGATAGCAACTGAACCTTGAAAAGTGCTCTTTTAAAGATCAATTTATATTTCATTAACTTATAATACCTACTGTAAAAGACACAAATAAAAAAAAAAAAAAGTAGTCCCAGAGGAACAGAGGACATGGGTATGGCATTTTTTTTTTCCAGAATTTTCCGTTTTTCTTTAAGTAACATTTTGTTGTTGTTGTTGCTGTTTTATCCCTGGGCAAACCAGATTATCTGAGGCTCATTTTCTGACCAAAGCCTACCTGCACCTGTGCAGCTGCTGGGGAATCTTCAAAGAATGTCACTGCTTTGTCATTAAACAGGTGGTGGAGGTGAAGGCACAGCCACAGACTTGGCACCAAAATTCAGAACATTACGACAAGAAAACGCAAAGTGATTTCTTTCCTAGGATAATCACTCTGGAGTTGCAAGGAGTCCCTGGGATTTATACAGTCTCCACAGTGAGAGAGTCTTCCACAGGAAACCAAAAGCCACCACCTTTGGATGCTTTTTGTAGCAGCTGTAGCAGAAAGACATCTTCATTTCACACTTGCCCCAAACAGCTTCCTAAATGCAGGAAGTGATTTCTTGGAATCTTGGTCAGCAAACTGAAAGAAACTTTTTTTTTCAGTACCACTCTGTCAAGCAGCAAACCCAGCATGCCTCTTTGATTCCGTTCATTAGGCAGGGACAGAAAAAATTAACTGCAAAACTCAGTCTCCGGACTGATGAGATCAGTAGCACCTTGCAGGAAGGAGCAAATTGCAGGCAGACTGGAGTGGGGCATTCAATCTCTCCTCCATCCAGGGCTAATTACAAGCCACCTGAACCTAGGAGAGCTGCTTCCTACTGGTGAGTGAATGGAAGTCTGCCTTCTGCTTTCTCTCACTTCTTATCCTTATGATACCTTTATAGCCCTTAAGTGTAGGGACAGGTGAGTGAACTCAGTCTTTAATTCTTATTCTGTGGAAGCTCCTGAACTTTCATGTAATCTCCTAATTGTGAGAAAAATGAACTTTGACAATCAGCAACTCGTTTGCCTCTTTGGGATGTTCACAATAAGGAAATGGAGGAATGACCTTCAGCTGCCTTTTCCCATCCATCAGTTTCTGCTGCTCACAGAGGGCCTGAGACTTTCTGAAATGATTTGGGGCCAGGTGTGCTGGAGAACTAGCATGGGGACCACAGTGGCTGGAAGAAGCATAGATTGCATATTTACCAGTATTTCTGCCTTTCCAGGGGAGCTGGTGATGAGCTCCTGTTGGTGTTCCTTAGCATCACCCAGGACACAGCAGGACAATTCCTCCCTCCAGCAGCTGAGCTGCCCCAACACTGGTGATGCCTATTCTCACTTGTAAGCATGGCTGCTAAAACACCCAAAGGAAACCAAGGAGCACAAGGGAATACAAGCCAGGAATTTCAATACAGATGCGATGCAGCATTTGCCTAATGTCATTGTGATGCTAGTTAAGTGTATTGCCACCTGGCAGTTTTTAGAAGGGATGATGAGGAAATAATGAGGGGTGCATCCTGCATCCATTTGGACATTATTTTCAAGCACGATTGATAAGCTTGAGTTCAGTAACAAAAAAGAAAAATTACAATAAACAGCTGAAACCCTAAGTGAACTCTCCTGAAAAGATATTGCATAATTCTAGCTTTCATTTAGATCAAAAACGTAACTTGGGGAGGGTTTGGGTGCTTGAGCCCTATCTCAGCCACTTCAGCTCATGCACACATCAGATTGCCAGCACTGATCACCAGAAGGCACTGGCACCTAATGAAGGTCTGAGAGCAAGATATCTTGCATTCCCAAATGAAATTTCTACATGTGCAACCACATAAAATTTACCTTTAGAAAAAAAATTAAACCCAACTGAGCATTTATTAAACTGTATAAGAGAGAGATAAGCGGATACCCACAGGCTTGCTGGGCTTACTTCAATAACTGAGGACCCAGAGGCAAATGGAAAATTGGACAAAATGCAAAGCAAATTAGCAGAGGCAGGTAGGGCCACATTGATTTAGTGCCTCCCAGATTTTTTAGTCAAATAGATAGATGCAATCTAGCTTCATGTTAACAACCATCTCAGGTGGAATCACGTGGTTAATTATTAGTACATCTGGAGAAGATGGAGACTGGGAAAGAGCCTGTGAAACAGAAAGGAAGCTAAATAACTGGGGGAAAAAAAGTAAAAGAAAATAAGGGGATAATAAGGGGAATGTGAGTGGAGTTCTTCCAGACTTCATTTTGGGACTTCTCTTGTTAAGTCATTTTCATGAATGTTTTTGAGTCCAAAAAGCTTAAGCTCACAAAAAGCCCAAAATGGCAGAAAAGATGCTAGCTTGTGTTTGATTCATTCAGTGCTTGAGGAATCAGAACCTGGTGCAGGGCCCATAATTAAGCAAAATTAATTTCAGAGGAAGGCTTGAGTTCATTACAAAGTTATTCACTTGGCAGCACTCATCAGAGCTCCAACCTTTAACTGCTTGCATTGTGGGGAAAAAAAAAAAAAGCTTTTTTTCTAAGTTTGAGTCACAGTTATAAATCAAGTACTTCTCCAGTTATTCCCTCTCAAATACAGAAAAGGCCCAAGTGATAATTCACTGGACTAATTTGTAGTGGTAGTGGGGATTATGAATCAATGCCTATTTTTAATTCATTTCCTGCTGTGACACTGCTTTATCTTTACAGATTTTATTAAAAACCAGGCCTCCAGTTTTGAACTGCTGGGTATGCCTTTCATTGCATGGTGGTTCTCCAGGTTCTAGCAGAGCAAGGACAGAAGAGGCTCAAATATGAAGGCACACTGGCAGAGAAGAGCGTGGCTGATCACTGCCTGGGATAAATGCAACTACTAACATTACCCAAATAAAAAGGCTCTGGATATCGTACAAGGCTGTAGTGGAAAAAAAAAAAAGTAGTATGTTTCCCAATTCCCAGGCTCCGTAGGACTAAGAACTATCTTTCTAAAGCTTGGCTCAGCATAGAAATTTATTTCCACTTGGGGAAGGGGAACATTTATTCCAATTCACCACTGCTGCCATCAGAAAACCAATCCCTCCCCAGCATCCCTGGAGACCACCGCATCACTGTTTGCCACTCATCGCTGTGTGCCTCCCCATCATTGGGTACCACCCCATTCCTTTGTGTGCAGTAGGCTGCGCACACTCCTTTCTGTCCCGTGTGTCTGATTTCCACTGTTGGCTTACCTGAGGCTATCAGGAACCCGCCGCCCACTTTGTAGGACCTGGCACTGACAAAGGGCACACCACACACCAGCAGCAGTCCTCCCACCAGGCCAGCAGCAACAGCCAGTATGATGAACGCCGTCCAGAAGCCTCTGTACACTGCATGAAAGCCAAAAAGAAGAGTCAGAGAAAAAGGAAGGGAAGCTCATCTGGGCTTTTAGAAGGCTGTGAGGATCTCCTCCATCAATGCCAGCTTGGGCAACAAAATGATGGTGAGCACTGGGGTCATGAGCAGTTTCTCCAGCGGGGAGCTGCTGCTGGTGTTGAGCAGGGCTGTAGTCAGTATGTTGTTGTGTGGGTGCAGAATGCAAGTTTGGGCTGTGTGTCATGATCTAACATGAGATTGGAATGAGAACATGGAGCTGAAAGTGTTTGCAAGGAGACCACACCAGAGAGTATGTGAGAAGGGAGGACAGTCCCAGGTGTGGGCAGTGAGGGCTCTTCAGGTACAAACTCTCCAAACCTTCTCCCATTTCCCCCAGTTTGTCCAGTCTGCTCAGACCACCAGCTCCCACTGCTCCCATTGCTTTTTGTTGCTCAGAAGCTCAAGTTAGAGAGATTTGAGCTGAGCATGAGCAAACAGCAATGCTGAAATGACTCACACTTGAAAGAAAAATGACACAGAGAAGATGCGTTTTGCTCATTTTAAGCCATTTTGTCAGGAGAGCCACTTAGGGAGAGATAAGTATCTTGAACTCTCCGAAACCACAGAATTCATTTTAATGTTTAACCTCCCGTCACCCATTTCTCTCAGGGAAGCCTAAGAGGATGCAGATAAGGCAGAATTATCTCTGGCGCAGGTAATAGCTGGAGGACCCACTTCTTGGACAGCCTCCTGTTTTGTCATAATTTGCATCTGAGTATGGACTGGCTGGGAATAAAATAAAAGTGTATGTCAGAAAAGCCTGCTCCATGCGCATTGCCCAACACTTTGCAGTGTGGTTGGTGCAGATCCCAATTCCAAGAATGAGGGTGCTGAGATATCCCCAGCTCCATACCAACATGTCCCCATGTCCATGCCATCACGTCCTCATCTGGTGCCAACGTGTCCCCATCTCCCCAGGGATGAGCTCATCAAGACCAGTTCAGCAGCAGGACTGCAGCAGCCTCAGCACCGGAGCTGTCCCCAAAAGGCATTTTGGAGGCAGCTGCAGAGGCTGCATAGCACAGGCTGATGGGCAGCGACAGATGGCTGAAGGGCTCTTTATTTAGCACAGAAAAATCCCTGTGTTTACCATTGAGATCATTCAAAAACTGGAGTTGTACCACTCCCTCCTAAGCAGAAAAATAAGCCAACATTTGCCCATGTGCCTGCCATACACAGCCCACAATGGGCTTCTCTTTCTGCCATCTATTTCACATTTCAGTTTGCTCCTGGAGGCAGGGATCCGACACAGCAAAGGAGTGAGATGCTCTCCCTCACATGCTCCTACTGACAAATATTTTTTTTTTAATTAATTTCTCGTAAAAAAAAAAAATAAATAAAAAAAAAAGGTACTGCTAAAGGCTAAGGAAAAGGTCAAGATGTTTGTTTGTGCAGTATGCCTGCCCCGGATCCCCCGAGGCAATGCAGAGTGATGCACACTATTTAAAGAAATCAATTCATTTCCAAAAAGATCATGGAATTAATTCTAGCTGCTGCCACCAATTTAGCAAATTAAAATTCCTAGCAGCAGCTGATTCATTAAAGAACTCTGAAAATACAGAGAAACATAAATAAAAAGGGAACCAGTTGAAAGGAGAGCTTTCCAACTGTGTCGTATTCGAGGTATTAAAAATAAGTGCGATGGATCTTCCGACAATTTGGTCTTTAACTGATTTTCCAGTGTTTGTTTATTTTGTCTTGCAACAAATCAATGCTGGCGCTCTCCCAGGAAGCCACTCGAGGCCACTTTGCAAGGGGCTTCCCTGGTCATGGTTGGCCATGAGGATTGGCAATAGGACACACGTAGCACACAACATGCTTCCCGGCCCCACGGCTTGAAAATGGAGCTGGGAAATGACCCACCTGCAGTCGTGTCATAGGAGGGATGTGGGAAAGGCCCCAGGACGATGGGCATGGGGAACAGGTAGCCGTGCATGCAGTGCTTGGGGTGCGCTTGGCTGGCTGCAAAAGAACAACAAAATATTTGCTTTAATTTTGTGCAAAACTACAGTTAAGCTGTTCAGATGGCAAACTGACATCAATATTCCCATTGCTATTTTGCTCCAGAAACCACCTGCAAGGGGAGAAGGGGTTTGGGTACCAGAGCCAGGGTACCTTTCCTTTCCTCGGTTGGTAAGAAAGGAAAGCACAATTAGAATGGACGTGCCCCATCAATATTAATACCACTGAGACTTATCGTGATTAACAGTAATAGAATGAATGTTAAATGAATTAATTAATGATTGGACACTTATTTAAATATGTTCCCCAGCTCAAAGGAACACTTTATAATAGGTGGACATTAGTTCATGCTAAATTGACTATGGAATACCTATTGAATTAATTATTACATCCACGAGAGCAGCAAATTAATTTGCCATGATCAATCCTATTATAATAAATACCTAAAGAAGTAATAAAAATTTGCCAGCTATCAGAAAGAGTCATTTTACTTCAGGTAACACTGTATCGTATAATGTATTCCTGTATAATGTTAGATAGCAAGCTCCCTCTCTCCAGCCTTTTTCATCAAAAAAATTCCGTGTGAAAAACTCTGCACTGTTCTACTGAACAGTGGCAGTAACAGTTCTACAGAAAACAGAGGTCAGGGTCAGAGGGACAGCAAAACCATCTGAAATTTTAACCACCAGGGAATAAACAGATTGTGGGAACCTGCATTATTTTCAGCCAAATCCCTCAGTAGGGTTATCCTGCTGCTCCATGAGCCTGTAAGCATCTCTGAGCAGAGCGAGCAGAGGGTCAGGGCCTTTGCAATGTTGAAAACCTTGGCAGACCTTTTTTTTTTTTTTTTTTGCCTCTGAATATGTTTCACCTTCTTCGATTTTTTCTTAAACATGAACATGCTTTCAGAAAATAATGATTTTGCATCACTCTGCTTCTTTGCAGTGAAATCCTCATGTTTGTGACTTCTATGACCTTAAAAAGCAAAACAGGCAAGATCTGAAAGCAAAGGTCTTGTGTGCCCAGGAGCACAGACCCACTTGGTTCTGTATGGGCTACCCCTGCCCACTCCTGGGTGCTTCCTGACTTCTAGCTTGAAAACAGTAGGAGGGGGAATGCTCAACCAAAAGGGAAGCACCTAGAGGTCTCATGGTTGGATGGGGCCCTGGGCAGCCTGATCTGGTGGGGGTAAAACCGATTTTCTGTAAAAAACAGGAATTGAAGAGCAGTGCTAAGGACAAGGTGGGCATGGGTTCAAATTCATCACACCTTAGCTGGATACAAATATCAGGGTGCATGGGAGCAAAGTCAACCCTGCTGGTGGATGATCTTCATGGATGATATTTTAATTGGCACCATGGTGTTCCTGTGTGATGGTGCCCAATGAGAGCAAAATCCAAGTCCAAAAAAAGAACCCATGAAGAATGCCCCAAGTTAGCTGTTTTTGGAGGGATGATGAGAATGAAAAAAATAATAAAAAAATGTGGAACAAAACACAGTGCAGAGGCATCAGGCTGGCAGCAGCACCAAGAGGCACAGTGTGGTACTCACTGTACCAGAAGGTCCAGATGGTCGTGGACTGGCCCTCGCCGAAGAACCAGCACCGCCAGAAGAAGCCCTCGTGATGGAAAGTGAGGATCTGCGTCCCAGCCTCTGTCAGTGTGTCTGCCTGTGGGGAGTGGAGGAAAAGCTGATGTGAGGTTGGTCACAGCACGCGTGTTTAGCTCGGATGGTTGTGCATTCATTGCTGCTGTTTAAGTTGGTTTTGGAGGAGTCAAGGGATAGCTGCTGCCCTCAATTTTCTTCCGTATCACAGCTACAAAACAAATATTTTAGTCCCTTGAAATAATTTCTATAATCACAGCTATCCTGATAAAAAGGATCCCGCAGATCCTCACAGACAATCTTCTCACACCAAAGACATTAAAGCACTGATTGCTGGAGCTGGAAAAGTATGCCAAGGATACCACTTCTTAAATAATTTCCCTAAGGAAGCACTATTGGTGTTGTAACCAGTTGGAAGCAGGTGGATCCAGGTAAGCTATTTCAGAGGTGACCAACACAACAGGTCAGATGCCATCGCACTCTGCAGGATCCATGCAAGGTCTCACCTGACCTCAGAAGGCAGCCCAGTGCTGTCACTCACACCCAGCCCCTGCTCACCACTCCAAAAGTTTCCTGCTTTCCTCCTGCTGGTGAACCTGCAGAGATTATGATATCCTGATGTCAGATGGGAATTACTCTTTGACCCCACCAGTTTTCGCATGGCCCAGTTCAGTATGCTGACAAATGTTCTCTTTTTTTGGTCTAAGTGCAAACCACAGACCAGACTGCAAATGCAAGGTCTGAGTCGTTCCAGAAGGGAGAATATTGCAGTGCCGAGTCGTAAACTAATTACCGAAAACCAAATTATTGAAGCCATATCCAAAATCCATTTTATCTTTCTCATGCTCAGTTTGGTTAAAAAGACACAGCTGTTAGAAAGTTCTGTTTTGTAGAGGATGGAGAAGCTCTGCATAGGAATGGCAGTGCACTGGGGAAAGGAGATGGGACTCAGCAAGGAGGTATTGGGAGATGCTCCCTCACCTTGAAGTCCTCATAGATCAAGTTATGACCACTTTCAGAGTTCTGATTCTCCTTTTACTTTCAGGATAAAATGCCAGCTATGGCAATGGTGTCATGCAGACCCCACTGGCTTTCTGCAGACTTGGTGCACATTTAACTGCTGCATGGCAGATAACAACCCTTCTTATCCATTAGGGATAGAGTTTGCCAGTTTAGAAAAAGACAGATAAGGTAAAACCCACCAGTGCCTAAACTAAGAATCATAGAAATAGCATCTGAAATAGAAACAAAACAGCTCAGAGGAAAGAAGAGGAGCAATGCCCACTTCTTCCTGATGGTACTGGAATCATCATGCCTCAGCAACCAGCAAAGAAACACACGGCCAAGATCATTCCTGACACCTCTGAGGTGTCTGTGTCATGCTGCATGCCATCCCTGCCTTTCGCTCTAAAGGACAGCAGCACTAACAAAATCCAAAACAATTAACACTGTCATTTCCTTAGCACGGAACCAGAGCTGCACTCCTCTGGCTGTGACTCTGTCTCCTTTGGGGTTCTATTGCACTGCTTTAGACAAAAAAGACGCTGTCTTTTGCCAGGCAGTTTTATCTATTTCTTTTTTTTTTTTTTCCTGTAGTATTAGTAGTGGAAAAAGTCATTTGGAAACATGACTCAAACAGTGCCCCACAATTGACAATGGGATTCTGAAATGACAGCATTTCTTGCTGGCATCATGATGCTTACCCAGTGTGACTCACCACACCAGAAAACATCAAACCTAATTGGATTGAACTTTGGAGTAACAAAAAGTCTGCACGCAACAAGGAACCTCCTGTCATTTTTTAATTGCGGCCACGCATTGATCAGCTCAGAAATATTTCAGAAGAGCGGATGGCTCCGGGAATGCAGCCGGCTTCGATTGCTTGGGCAGGCAGACAGCAGCAAGTTCAGCTCACAGCACACTTTCAAAAGGATCTATAAACATGTGATAGGAGTACTAAGCACTAGAACACCTGTCATAAAAACAGGAAACATTCAAAATCATCTTTCTTGCTAACAGAAACCCTACACAAATCCTAATTTGACAATAGACCTCTCCACGTGAGATGGGCAGGAACCACTGCTGGCTCTGCCATGCACCTGCTGCTCGCTCCTGTTTGCTGCCTGTAACACAGCTCTCTCACTTCAGATGTAAATGCTTGCCAAGCTCTACACTTTAAAATATGAGCTACTTTTAAACGAACAAATGAGGTGGAGAAATCTTTTAATAGAAAATATCAGGAGATATCTTTTGTTTTTCGAGGCAAAGGCTGTCAACAAGTAAAGCTCTTACATTTTTGCCTTTCATTCCCTAACATTCATATCTGCCAGAATACAGAAGCACTGTTTTCATGTTTTCCAGACATTTTTAGTGTCAAAACACTCACAGAATCATAGAATGGCTTGAGTTGGAAGGAACCTCAAAGCCCATCCTGTCCCAACCCCACGCCGTGGCCTGGCTGCCCCCATTGGATCAGACCCATGCAACCTGGCCCTGAGCACCTCCAGAGATGGGGCATCCAAGGGAGCTCAGGATGACTTTTTGCATTAACAGGTCACTTTAAATAAGCATGGATCTAAAGCTGCCAACACCTAAATTGAAGGTAGCTGTGCAGCTTTTCGACAGTTGTAGAGCAAATTATTTAAACGAAAGCTCTCTCTTCCCTAGAATAACCTGGTTGTGTATTTACCTCTCTGGACTGGTGCGTGTTGTTTCCATCCCCGATGACCCCGCACATGTCCGCAGCCAGCAGCCAGTAGTCCGTCCCAAAGGCGAGCAGGAAGAGCAGCATGGCCGTGCTGCCCAGGATGCCCGCTGTCAGGGCAGCGATGCCAGCCTTCATGGCCCAGCAGAATTTGGGGAAAAAGGGGAAAACACTGCGGCTTCCCAGTCACTGAGGGAAGAGAAGGGAGAGAAGTGCTATTCTGGGACGCAGATAAGGATCTTCGGGCGGCCGGTGTGAGTTTCAGGGGGTGGCGGAAAAGGGACTAATAAAAGCAGATGACCTGGAGTAGCCAAACAGCTGTGGCATTAAGGGAGCATGACAAACAGCTATTGAGACAGAGAAGGACAGCTTCCAAAAAAACACATGGCTGCTCACTTCAGTGCGGTGAGCAGCGAGCACGGGTCATGGGCACTCGTGCTGCTGAGAGAGCTTAAAGCATGCTGTGCATGGGACGAGCAAACCTGACCCCACAGATATCACCATTCCAGAGCCCATGGCTCTGCGCTATCTTCAGTTGTGTCTGCCAAAGCACCGTGCAGAATAAAGCCCATACAAACCCCGGGGGTCCAAGCGATGCATTAAAATATTGGTGACCCTCTCAAAACCCCGGTGCTCTCAGAGCAATGCGATCATCCCACACACACACAGTTACATCAGCATGTCCGCATCCAGCAAGGCACAGAGCTCAGCTGTCAGCACCTGCACATCCTTCCTACACACCTGGAATGGGGATCTCCCTACTGCTGCACAAAGGCAGGCAGTATATGGCACTCAGTCCCCTTCCAGTGTCTCCTGGGGCATGAGGACAACCCTGCGCAGAATTCTGTTGCCATTTGGCTCCCAATGCTTTTGTCTGCTGCTGGAGCATCTGCTGTAGATCACTGCCAGCAACAGGATGCCAGACCAGTAAAACTGCAATTTCTGTAGGGCAATAACTATATTCCTGTGGCATGCCAGCAGTCTAGGGGAGGAAATTTAAACTACAGTGAAAATTCAAGTGCCGATTTTCAGACCTCAGCCTTAGCCATGACCCACCTAAAAGGAGGATAGAGGAAAATGCTGATTTCCTCAACCAAATTGGCAAATTAATTTCTAAACCAGTGTAATGAAGGCAACTGTGCACATATGGGTATAGCAGAGAAGCCACCCACAGCCGAGGGAACTGGAGAGAGTTGGGTGAAATTCTAACTATACTTTCAAGCAACTGCCAGTGCACGTGGACTGATGAACCTGAGTATGAAGAACTTCAAATTACAATAAGCGATTATACCTTCCGTATTGCTGTTTCTTAAACATTGCAGGCTGGTGTGGCTGTTAAATAATACAGCAGTTCTCTCTTCCTCACTGTCACAGCGGGTTAGCGGTACACAACTACTGCAGCAAAGTGACCTCCTTCTATTGAACACAAAACGGTTAATTAAATACAAAGTGCAATATATCTATCACCTAATTAATCTCCAATAAGTGCAATTTCAATTGGTTTCCATTTAACAAACATGGAATACCAGTGAAACCTGTATGGAGTGGCCAAGAAAATCGGTTGCCCTCTATTTTTGTGATGTGTAGGTCAGAACTGAGTCCATCAGTGGGGACGTTCTGCCTGAGGGTGCCCCATGAAACCACAGCATGACATACCAGCAGCGAGGACTGCTCGCAGATCGCAGTGCAACCACATGGAATTACAACACAAAGTGAGCACTTGCATATTCAAAAAAAAAAAAAAAGAAAGAAAGAAAGAAAAGGAAAGAAGGGGGGGATTAATGCACACTTCCACATTTAGGTGTGTGCTTTTTAGCTAGCTGTATTTGGCAGTGCTGCGTTTATGCTAATGCATGTTTGCACGTTAGTGTGGTTTGCCATTTGGAAGGCATCCTGTGCAATTCTCAGTCCCATTGGCAGCAAAACGTTGTGTGGCTGCAGCAGAGCATCACCATGCCCAGCCCTGGCTCCCGATGGGCTGCTCTGTGCCCAGCCAAACATTTTCCAAATTCTTCAGCTGTGGAGTTTGCAAGGTCAGAGTGCCTCTCCAGTGAGTTTCTTCCTCCTCAGCTCAACCCCATGGATGTGTTCCTCACCTCTGCAGAAAAGCAGTAGATAATATTAAAATTCTTATAATAGGAACGCTTTTTTTTTTTAAGTATTGTGAACTGTACTAATAGAAAAAGTAGTACCTTTGCTCTTCAGGAAAAGCATGTTTATTAGTTTTAAGGTTCAGATCTACTCTGGTTTTGAAGGTTGAATTCATTTTTTTTGTTTCCTTTTGTAGAAGTGCTTTGTTCATATTTTATACAATGCAACAGACAGTCTTGTTAATGGGCAAGACCCACGCACACCACACCACACCCTGCAAGGTTGGGAACACAGGTGAGATGGTGGCTGCCCTTTCCAGCTTGCTTTGGGATTTCTGGAGAAGTCCTGGTATGGACTGAGAGGAATAAATATTTGCATTGACATTTGCCCCTTTAATTCTGCATTAAGAACATAGTCATTGGTTTGTCTCCATCCACGTCTACATTTCTCTTGGAAGAAGCACATAAGCCCAGACGTTGAAAGATGCTTGGTGTTTCTGGGGATACCCCAGTGCTTGATGGCAGGAGAGAAGAAAGCTCAGCTTGCCTCACCTGCTTCTCAGGAGTTAGTAGCGCTTTCCAGGATTAAGCTGTTATAATCACTTTAAGCAGTCATGAAATAAAATAAACACAAGCATGATTTTCTGGTTAAAGTTTAAAAAAAAAAATCCACACGCTGAATGCAAATTCTTTTTGTAGGGGTGAGAGCAAGGCAGATTTACAGCTCGCTTCTGAGCGTGGCCGATCGCTGTGCCCAGGTGCCAGTCTGGGCTCTCCCTTTGCCACTGAGCTACTCCACATCATTAGCAACTTTTCCCTGTTTTAACCTGAACTTTCAAAAGACTCCTGCAAACTTCCCAAGTGAGCGCAGAGCCATAACTCTCTGAACTACCAAAGGAATCAAGCTGATGCAATTTATTTCCACAGAAGCATGCAATATTCAATGATACAGCGAATCCATGTTTTAAACACTTTTTAAAGGACTAAAACCCTGCAAAGAATTAATTAGGCATGCTCTGAGGCCCAAGCATTTAACAGTTTTCCACTCAGTTGTTGAATTTTAAGACCACCAACACTGGATACTGGCATAGATTATCAAATGTATGCTAGGCTGAAATACACACTAGGCAGAAGGCTTGGCCACTAAGCAGCTGGAAAATACTTCATGAAAGCTTTGGCTGTGCTATTATATTTTGTAAAGAAACTTCTTTAAAAAATCCATAAAATCTAGGAGGTTAAATTTGGGGCAGAGTGACTCATTGGGAAACTATGTACTGCACAGAATATTGTCTTCTCTGCAGATCAAGCAAATGGTTCATACACCAGAGAGGTATTTGGGTCCCAGCACTGCAGAGTGGCATTGGGAGGGATTAATAGGTTGGGAGGGGTTAATGGACTGGGATCCATGCAAGATCAAGCCGATGCCTGGTTGTCCGTTTTTTCATCATCAGAGAAAATACGGGTAGTGCAAAGACCCCATTTTCTGGAAGCATCCTGCTTTTTCCAACCATTTTTATCATTTACTACAGTATTACAAAGAAATACAGATGTGCCAAAGCAGCCGCAACCCGATAAGGGCCTTGGTAAGCCATAACAGTATTGCATAGAACTCATGACAATGAGTGATGACAACTGAATTATACAAAAAAAATCAGTTAAATATGCACATATACACATATGCATACACAAAAACTAATGCAAGGCTGATTTTCATTGCATGCAATTGGATAAATTTACAGTGTTGGGCAGCCAGGAGTAGCCTTCAAGTGAAATTAAATTAAATTAATCAATTTATTTCAAGACAGTGTTACAGAAGTTTAACCAAATAAAAATGAGGCCCTTACATCTTTGTAAAGCAAACATACGTTTTTGCATCTTTAACTTTGAGTGAATGCTGCAGGGTACCAGGCAGTGATCTCCTAATGGAGCATTCATGTACACAGGAGATTGGCTCCCAAGGTCCAAAAATATCATGGAGAGAAGTTTGCAAATTCCTATAACTTCTTCTATTCTTAATTCAGAGTTTCTTTGCCACTTGTTCAGATTAAATCATAGAATCCTAGAATCATTAAGGTTGGAAAAGACCTCTAAGATCATCTAATCCAACTATCAGCCCACCCCCACCGTGCCCACCAAGCATGTCCCTCAGTGCCACGTCCTCACAGCTCTTGAACACCTCCAGGGATGGTGGCTCTCCCACCTCTCTGTCAGTCTGTGCCAGTGCCAAACCACTCTTCTAAGAAAAGAAATTTTTCTTAATATCCAACCTGAACCTCCCCTGTTGCAACTTAAAAATGCTCTTGGATTCATTGCAGAAGAAGGGAAGAGAAAGAAAAGTACCACTGTTTGCAGTACCAAACTTGAGCCTTTTGAGTTTGGATAAGAATGCAAAGGCTTGGACACTTACTTACCTTCACCTTTGGACAAAATGACGCAAATGTGGAAGTGTCTCTCATCTTCAGGTGCTATCCTTGCAGCTCTGCACCTTTGCAGCAGGGATTGTGCCTTTTCTGACAGCAGAGGGATAGGGACCTCTTTCTCTACTTATTAGGATGTTAATTCAAGCCTCTTCAAACACTAAAAGTCTCAGTAATGGCAGTAGAAAACCTCTCAGAGCCTGTGCAGTCCAGCTCGTGGTGCAGGCACCAACCTTTGCACTGGTTAGTGCCTGCTCTGGAGCAGATGTTGAGTCCCAGTAGCAGTGCTGCAGCACCATGCAAGAGGAGTGACCCCAGGTCAGTGACTGTCCCCTCTCCCCTTCCAGCTCTGTTCTTTGTGCAAGAGTTTGCATGTTTCCTGCCCCAGAGATCGAAACTGACAGGCTTCTCCATAGAACATTTTATTTTCCAGTGTTAATCCTTAACTAAATTTTAAAAGAATATTTGTACTGCTTCTAACACATCCGTAATAAGTTCCCCTTAAAAGACCCAGTGCTGTTGTGGGATGTTCCCTCTGCTAAGACGCTTCACCTGATTGAACAACAGGATTTGACTCAGGAATGCACATGATTAATGCTCACACTGAGGACTCACCGGTTCCTGAGAAGCAGCAGAGGTTTTTTGCTCTGTCTGCTGTCATTTCTGCAGCATGCTCCACCGTTTAATAGAACTGTCTTTGAGATTACAAAGTTTCTCCTAACATATAATCTAAACACTCCCTGCTGTTTATTCTATCCCTGCTGACTACTGAGAAGCCCCAATATCCCATTTTATTAAACATTTTTTCTTGCACTTTCTTGTCTGTGCATCATTTCACAGAACCATAGAATCATTGCAGTTGGAAGGACCACTAAGATCATCTAATCCGACCACCACCATGCCTGTGACTACTCTAGATCACATCCCTTGGTGACACATCCTGCCCTTTTCTTCATCACCCCAGGGACAAGGACTCCACCATCCCCCTGGACAGCCTGTGCCAATATCCCACTACTTTTTCTGAGAATAAATTTTTCCTAATATCCAATATTTGCCTTTTCCTTGGTTCCTTTTCAAAACATAGTGCTGCACAATGACAGCATGATGTGATGTGGATCACTCAGAATTTTTTTGCATAGTCCATGCTGTCCTTTTCAATATGCATCTTATTATCTTATTTACATTAAGAGCATGTTGCTGGTCACCATTACAAAAAAAAAAAAAAAAAAAAGACTCAAAAAAAGTGAAAAAGAAAAGAAAGCAGACTGTATTATGGACACCTGCAAAGCAGTGAGATGCAGCCAGCAGCATCACATATCCGAAGTCATCTCTTTCCCTGCTCCTTCCTGTTTGCTGCGGGCAGGGATCACACACACAGACTGTGACCGGTTCTGCTTCACAGCCCGAACCTTCTCTTCATCCTCCACTGCAAGAAGAAAAAAGCAGAGGCACGGCTGAGGGATGTTCTCCTTTGTGGGTCAGCAGTAATGAAGCAGTATGAGAGCCATTGAGATGACCACTGGCTCATTGGGGATGAGCTATGTTGCTGCAAAGATCACTTTTCAATTATGAAACAGAAGACAAAGATCAGCATCTGGGTAGATGAGCGGAGGGGGAAAAAGCAGAATGTGAGCCCTACTTTGTACCTTGAAATATGCTATGTGTCTGGATCAATGAAACACCATGCCACGTTCTGTCTGGGTGCACAGGGGCATGACGCAAGGACTGCAGCCCTGTCAGCCCTGTGCCCACATGTTCCCTGGGGCACAGACTTGACAAGAGAGAATGTAGTAAAAAATAATTAAAAACAACCCAGAATTGCTGTATTTTTGTCACTCTGTTCTGGTTACACTTATGTTCTTCTTCAAGAACATTTAAACATTTTAGAAATGTTTAAACATTTGTAATAAACCATGGACTAAAACAGATACATCCACAGCAGGTGGCCACACCACGAACACAGGAATGCCAGAGAGTTGTGTTCCCTCTACCTGCTTATGCAAAGCTGCACTCAGACACCTTTGTGCAGATAAAGCACCAGCTATACAGCTCTCTACTTAATATGTAGTTAAAAATTTTAAATAAAACTGCAAAGAAAGACAACATCAGAATCGGAATTACATAAAAAATAATGAAAGGAAACAAAGATACTTCCTCTTTTCTTAAATATTTTTCAAGTATACAACAAATAAAGAAATACTCTGTATGCTAATGCTTGACCCAGGCACTCAGTACAGGTCGGCCCATATTTGGAGGCAGTAAATCACAAAATCATGGAATCATAGAATCAGTGATGTTGAAAAGACCACTGACTCATCTAGTCCAAGCATCAACCCACAGCTGTGATCACTTCAGACCATGACCCTCAGTGTGACATCTTCCCTCGCCTTGAAAATCTTCAGGGAACCTCCTGCCACCTGGAGGAGTGGCAAACATGGCAGCTCTCTAATCCTCACCCTTACAGAAGTGATTGTGCTGATGGTGTTTGCTGAGTACTCAAAGACTCGTTGCCCAGTTCCCACATGCTACATCTCTGGTAGAGATGGAAACTGAATAATGTTGTGATTTCAAGGCTAAAACAAGACCATCCTCTACATTTGGGAAGATGCATTTTACAACTTTAAACAGCTATACTCTTTGATACTAAACCATTTGTTTAAAGCATGAAATCTAAGCTTTCATGTGTCTAAAGAATGAGCTTCTGCATACAAAAACACGAGGTTCTGAACCACTGGTCCTTCTGTAACAAAGATTCATGACAGTGTTTCTAATGGTGCATTTTAATAACACCCAACAAACAAACAAACAAAAACACCAAAGATGTTAATTTTCGGAATCTTTTCTGCATAGCATTCACATCTCAAAGCACTGCCCTCCTTATCTTCAGCTGAGATGTCCCCAGCAGGGCAGGGTGAGAAGAGACCCCCATTCCCACTTACCAGTGAGGGAGCGGCACAGCCGGGGCTGCACATCGGAGTCACCCCGCACCAGGGAAGAGCCCTCCTTCTGTGATTAAGGAAGAAAAGTGCTTTAATGCATTTATGAAGATTGCTAGCAAGTCTGTTAATGACACTCATGCTTCATAAACAAGCCATTTGCAATCCCCAAGGACTCTGCTTCCATTTGTTTTACTTTTGCCAAGAAAAACAAAAAGAACTAGTTCTAAAAATAGAGCCAATGCATGGCAGGCGTTTCTAAGGGGAAATATTTACAGATACCAATGTGGTTGGGTTGGTGGGAGCTCTCCAGCAGCACAGTGCAGGAGGAGCTGACCAGGATGGGGACACCAAGCCCATGGCCAGGACATAAATGCAGCACAAAGGTGGCAGCGAGCCCACCACCACCTTTCTGAAACCAGCAGGTAGCACCGTCCTGCCCACATTGTTCAGTTTTCCTGTGAACTGGGAAAAAGCCTCTTGTGCAGCTGTGATTCGGCACCCAGGGCCAGGAATCTGAACTGCCAAATAACTCTGGACATCTCCCAACCTGGCTTTCCATTTTGTTTCCCTTCCCTTTCCCCCCTCCCTTAACAAGGGACCCAATGCCCTCTGCCCATTGTACACGGTTTTATTGACCATTTTCATGACAATGCCTCCCGGGCTCCGCAGCAGCAGCCTGGCTCCCTGGAAAGCCATTCCCAGAGGCATTTAATACTGCTCAGAGCATGCTCCATGAAAGGGCTCTGACATAATTACCAAAGGCAGTATGTCATTTACGCACACGGCTTATGGGCAGCTCCAAATAAGCTCTTTCTGGGGGAGTGCACTTGTGTTTTGGCAGAAGAAAAGAGAGCCAAGTTGCCTGGCTACAGGTGCAAGGATTTTCTGGGTGCTCCATGGTAAATAAAAGCTATCCCGGGTCTCAGAAAACACAGTGCCAGGGTACTTTGTGTTGGCTCCTTGCCTAAAACAGGCAAGCCTAAAACACACACAGTGCTGAGAGCCAATGTGATGCACAGCCACAGGAAGCAGTGGCCTTCGGGAGGAATTTTGTCCTTAGGCGGAGGAAGGCAAATTTTCTGTTGGAAATAGATAGTGCCTTGGAGTTAATCCTCTGGGCTGCAATTCAGACCTGAAGTCACCTCTCAACCTTGCCAAGATTTTTGAGCCTGGTGTAAATCATCTGACTCGCACCACTGGCACAACTGGCTCAGAGGGGTCGTTCGCTCCTTGCTTCTCACCTATTCACTTGGCAAACCCTTGGCATGGTTCTTAGCACAGCCAGAGCCACCTCACACCACGGTAAAGCCAAAAGATTGACACCTGAAGATAGTGAGGACAAAGGCAGGAAGGGACTGAATCACAGAATGGTTGGAAGGAACCTCAAGCATCATCACTCTCCAAGCCCCCAGCCACAGGCAGGGCCACCAACCTCTGCATTTAATACTAGGCCAGGACTGGTCTAGTCAGGGACTGGTGCTGGCTAAGACAAAGCTGAGCACCGGGCAGGAGGAGCTCCACTGCTGGTCCTTGGGCTGGTGGTGGCCTACAGAAGGACACATTTCCATGCAGCCCTTATTTTTGTGTTGACTGATACAGGAAGAAAGAAATCAGCCCCTAATAAACTACGAGATTAATCTAATTGAGCTACTACAGCTTCATAATTTAATAGCAAAAGAACAATCAATTTCACTAAAAAAAGAAAAAGCCCTACATGTTGACAGCCGCTGAGCAGGAAAAGCAGTGTTTCTATGGAGCCAAAGGGATTTTTTAAATTATTTGCTCAGCTCAAAACATGTAATTGGTTGAATGTATAGCGAAAGCTTCCTTTCACATAGGCTGGAAAGGGAAGACAGCCCACACATTGCACCACTGGAGGGTTGCAGGGCTCTTGGCTGGAAGTTTACTTCTGCTCCTTGTTTTCCAGCTTGGTTTGCAAACACAGTTGTAATGCTTCCATCTTGTGGAGAAATGCAGAATAGAAAAATGTGCAGCATGGGGGTGAATGGATTTTGCTGCTGACTCAAAGCCTGGGAGGCCAAACCCTTCTTTCAGAGACTACAAAAAATTGAGTATGAAATTGATATAAAGTCTCCAATGCCAGCCACCCCAGTCTTCCACTCACAGCTATTTTAAACACCATTTGCTTATCAATTTGACATGAAATTCTGAGTGCCTTATTTTTATCCAATTAAAAATGTAAAATACTTAAATAAACTGCTTTTTATCAGTGTTCTTTCTGCTTGCAAATTCCAGTACTACAAGCTTTTCTCTTATAGTGGGAAGCACTGCCATCACACACCTCCCTACATCACACTGATATTATGAGGCTCTTTTAGAATATTTTCTCATAACTTTTGGGGATGGTCTTACTTCTATCCAAATTAAAACGAGGCAGTTACTCAAGATAACAGATAAAAGTGTTGGTCACACCACACCCTCCTGACTTTTTGCTTAGGTTCAGAGTGCTGCTTTTTGGGCTGAGGCTCATTCTAGTGATGTCTCTCAGCTGGGAGAAGGGAGAAGTAGCTATTATAAAGATATGATGAGCACTCCCAGAAGTCTCCTGCGAGACATAGAATGGCTTAGGTTGGAAGGCTTCTAAAAAGACTATCTAGTTCCAATCCCTTGCTGTGGGCTGGCTGCCACCCACCAGATCAGGTTGCCCAGGGCTTCATCCAAACTGGCCGAAGGCACCCCAGGGATAGGGTATCCTCAAATTACAGAATCAAGAACCATTAAGGTTGGAAAAAGATCATCTAGGCCAACCATTAACCCATCTCTACCATGCCCATGAACCACACCCTCACTGCAACATCTATCCTTCCCTTCAACACCTCCAGGAACAGTGACTCCACTTCCTCCCTGGGCAGCCCATTCCAGTGCCTCATCACTCTTTCAGAGAAGAAATTTTTCTTAATATCCAGCCTGAACCCTCCCTGACACATCTGAGACCTCTCCCTCTAGTTCTATCACAAGTTATGTGGGAGAAGAGGCTGAACCCCATCTCACCACAACCTCTTTTCAGGGAGTTGTAGAGGGCAGTGAGGTCTCTCCAAAGTCTCCTTTTCTCCATGCTACCAGTCCCAGTTCCCTCAGCCGTTCCCTATAAGACTTGTGCTCCAGACCCTTCACAGTTCCAATTCCCTTCTCTGGACATGCCACAGGGCCTTGATGTCTTTCTTATAGTGAGAAGCCCAAAAATGAACACAGCACTCGAGGTGTGGCCTCACCAATGCCAAACACAGAAGGACATCTGCCTCCCTAGCCCTGCTGGATGTATATTTTTTTTATATTTGACAGCTGCATTGAGTACCAGCTTGGAATTTTGCATTGCACCCAAGTGCTCATTGTGCACCACTGACAGCAGCTGACAAGTCCCATGCATCTGCCTGAAGGGGAATATTCACCAGATTATTCTGTCCTCAGAAAGGCCAGTTCTAAGTGCTCAGAAAAATGGAGATCTTTTTGAGGTGCCAGATTCCCTATTTAATATTACTGCTGGGAGCAGCAGAGGGCAGGAGTGTGGCAGCACAAGGGTTAACAATCAAATGTCCTTAAAGTACATAATGTGCTCAAAATCAGCGCGAGTTTGATGTTGTTCTTTTGAAGTTTAATTATACCAAATGTTCTACAGGAACATGCCATGTTCTTCCCTATCTATTTTGAATTGTAAGTACCAATCAGCATGCAAATGATCAAATTAAATCTTTTAAGTTGTTTGCAAGAGCCGGAACACCTTTCTGCAAGGAGGGCTGGGAAACAGTAGCATTTGGTGCATCGCTGCAGCTCTCGGCAGGCTCCTTGGTGACTGGCATTTGAACAAAGAAATCAGAATAGAATAAAGCCTGCGGCAGCCTGGAGATCTTGTGCTGCCGTGGAAAATCACTATCTAAATAAAGAAAGATAAAGTATCTCCTCAAAAGGTCACCCTGTTCTCCTTAGTGATGGAGCCTCCAAGAAGGAGGTGAAATTTAAGATGGCTCACACACTACTGATGCTGTGCTGGGGAGATCTGGAGGCAAATTGTGGGGGCTTAATTGGATTTCCTGCAGATGAAGAGTTACAAAGGACTAGAGTCGCCTATAGGACTGAGCCCGCTCCTCACATGCTGCTCCTGGACCATTCCACCTTTCCACAGGGAACATTTGCCCAGCTCCTTTCATCAATGGCAAAGGAGCCAACAGAAGCCACGGGCACACAGACGTCGCATTCACCTTGCTTCTTCCCTTGCTCAGAATATGAGCCGGCAGGGAGCTATCCTAGCCAACCTGGAATTTGCATGGCTCTCCAGCAATCCAGCATGCAACGCTTCCATTTTATTTCCTTTGAGTTTGCCCAGAACTGTAGTTGCTTTTAAAAACAAAAAAATCACCTCCAAAATAAATAAGAGCACTCACAATAACACTTCTGTCCTTTTAAACAAGGATTTTTAGGGGTAAAAAAACCCCACCAATTTTAAATGTTTGCAGAGCATCTGGAGTGCTGACAATGGATGCACTCAACACAGCCTGCCACAAACTCTCCCAGAAAAGAAAACATGGGAAAAGTAGATATCTAAATCTACAAACTGAGGCTCAATTAATAATATTTGCTTAGTCAGTAACTTTCCTGGTGGGTGGAAGGTTCGGCTTACAAAGAGCTGAACGGTGCTGCAGACAGGATGGCTCATTTGTTTGTCAGGAATTGGGTAGGTTTCTTTCCCTACTCATTGGAATGCCATTTTGGATTCAGGAGGACTATTTGTCTATAAAAGAAAAGAGGAGGAAAGAGCACTTTTCCCAGTTCTTGTGATACCTGCAGTCCCTCTGTCACCACGGAGAGCAGTACGTGCACTGCTGCTGCAGGCACATCCCCACTCCCTTACCTCCTTCCTGGGGCTGATCCCATAGCTCCCACTCGCATCCAGCCGCAGGCTCCGGCGCTGCAGGATCAGGATCTCCTGGGCCTGCTCCACAGGCTCCGTCTCGCCGGGCAGCGTGTGCCTGCTGTACGCCGGGCCCTGCCATGCACCAACAGAGCATCGTGAGCATGGGACAGCTCTCAGTTGTCCCCCAGACACGGGGACACTCAGCCCCGCAGGTGGCCAGAGAGAATCATAGGATCATTAATATTGGAAACGATCACTAAGTCCAACCATCAGCCCATCCCCTCCACACCCACTGACCACGTCCCTCAGTGCCACATCTCCGTATTTCTTAACACCTGCAGGAATGCTGACTTCACATCCTCCCTGGGCAGCCTGTGCCAGCACCTCACCACTCTTTCAGAGAAGAAATTTTCCTCATATGCAACCTGAACTTCCCCTGGGGCAACTTAAGGCCATTCCATCTCATCCTATCACAATTACCACAACCCCACCTTGCTACCACCTCCTTTGAGGGAATTGTGGAGAGCATTCCACCATTTCTATAGGTTTCTGCCCAGCCTTATCTCATTCTTTCTCTCAGCTCAGTTAAGTGGCAGCAAGGGGGTGTTTGTCCCTGCTATGCTGAAATGCCCACCCCAGCCACATCCCCAAGGACTCAGTATTTCATGCATAATCCACAAAACAAAGGCTTAGGTGGATTTTAAGGATAAGGCTCCATGTATCAGCACGTGAGCAGCAATCAGAATGCACCTTCCTAAGCTCTACGTCAAACCTCAGAGGGATTATTTGTGAAATATTCTGTAAACAACAAGTGTTTTTATGTCACCCCCTGATGTACCAGATTGGTAGTAAAAATTATGGTATTGGTTTACTGTCTTGCTTTGAGGTTACAGCACACCAAGCTGCAATGGCACGATGATGGGGCATGGGTTGGCTGTAATGCTGCAACCATGCTGCTCTGGTAGGTAACCAGGAGCTTTGCAGTAACTGGATGAGCTAACCTGGCTCCTGAGGATCCATGTGCTCCTCTCTTCTCGTTTCTGGTGCTGATGCCTAAAATAGCTCGTGAAATTACAGGCTGACTGGGGGAACCTTTCAAAAGCTGTCATGCTGCAAACAGAAACGTGCCACTGACTTGGAAACTAGATCTGGCTTCACACAGCCAACTATTCTCTGCTCACAAAGCCACATCATTAGTAATTATGTAAATATTCACAACATCTGCTCAGGCTGCTGGGATAACAGAAATAACTTTTGTTATTGGACATACAAAATACGGATGGAGGGAAGGGCTATACCGTTCTCCGGATTCGGTACAAGTTCCTTGCCAGTATTTCCTGTATGTCTTCCAGACCATCCGGACACAGAGCATCCTCTGATTTCCTCTCTGTGATGACAGTCCTTTCACTGTTACTGCAAAGAAAACCAAAGCACCTTACTTCAGGAGGTGCACACCTGGTGTGTCATCAATGCCCAGTATCTCCATTGGGTACCACAGGTGGAACAGGCAGACATGAACAATAGCAAGCCCCTGCAGATGGAGCCCACCCATCTGCCAGTCAGTTGTGAATATCCTCCTTCTAATCTTGGGATAGTGTTTATTTTGCATTGGTACAAGGTATGCTGTTTCTTTCTATGGAACAGCCTGGCAGGGAGAAGCAGAGGAGGCTGAGAAGTTTGTTAAATAATACCATCATAATGTTCCAATACTTAAAAGGAGCATATAAAAAAAAGAGAGAGAGGAGCTTTTTATGTGGTCTGATAGTGACAGATAAAGGGAAAATGGCTTTAAAGTAAAAGAGAGGAGATTCAGATTAAATGCCAGGGGAAAATTTTTTATTCCAAGGGCAGTGAGGCCCTGGCGCTGCTGCCCAGAATGCTGTGGGTGCCCCATTCCTGGAGACGCTCAAGGCCAGGTGGGATGGGACCCTGGGCAGCATGAACTGGTGGGGGGCAGCCAGCCCATGGCAGAGGTTGAGGCTAGGGAGGCTGTAAGGTCCCTTCCAATCCAAGTATTCTGTGATCCTGTGATTCTATAACTGCTCCTTCTGGTGGTAGGGATGTGGACAATGGCAGCCTCTTGGTGTGCAGCAGATTTATTTCATTTATTTCACATGAAGCCACAGAGCTGAGCAAGTGCCTTTCCCTTGCAAATAGCACTCCGTGAAAGTGACACATCAGAGACAGCAATCTGGCTATCTGGAATCCAATGCAAACCAAACTTCCACATAATGTGATTTAGAAGGGCTCTAAAACAAAGCTGATATCCCCAGCTATACGTCCAATAACTAGGAGCTACTTAAATCTTTCCAGATCTATTTATAAGTTTCTTAAAAGATTTCTTTCCTTGAGAAAACTCAATAATTCTCAGTCATGATTCTTTCCAGCATACGACTGGGGGATAAAACCTATCTGCTGGCTTTCGCAAACAGGGACACAGCTTTATTACAACTTAGTGGCACTCTATTTGTGGAGACAGGCAGGGGAGCACTTACAGCAAGGATGGGTGGGATGGGGCATGGCCCAGCTGCCCTGCTTCTGCCAGCTCGATGGCGTGCTTCCGCTCCAGCTTTTCGTAGAGAAGCACAATGCTTGATTTGGGCTGGTCGTATTCTCGGAGCAGGTACTTCTGCAGATATTTGCTGTTGAAATACTCCAACCTGTTTGAGAACAAAGCAAGGTGTTCTTAGCCTCCTGCCCTTTGCTCCCTAGAACTACTGTGAGTCTGAACAAGCCAGCAGCTTCACAGTCCATAGTTGCCCCATACTTTATTATATTTCATTTCCTGCTTTCCAGAAACCTGCTGCCCAAGAGGCCAGTCCCTACTTATTTCTGTACATAAGCTAAGATATTAAAACATCTTCAAATACAATAAAAACTCCCCAAAGTGCCAAGTTTATTACTAAGGCCAGTAAGTGCTACAAGTACATGCAGTAGCCCCAGAGATACAACAGGATTTAGTGATTTAAACACTTCCAGATGCCCTCTTGAGTTGTTTCTTCCCACTTTCTGCTAAAATGCAGCACAACATTTGGAAAAAATCTTGCTGGTATCAGACAGCGATGCTGCAGCTCAGCCACATGGAAATCCACTTGCAAGGAGCAGCAGCAGTGCTTCCCATACCCTCTAGTGGCACTTCCAAGCACTGTCATTTCTAAGAAAATACCCATCAGCTGATACAACCTGAGTCATTATTATTAAGTCAGCTTTAAATGAATTAAACCAGGTAGACTGTTACTACTAGGTTAAGCTATTATTTAAATATAACAATAATTTCTTCTATGTGGACAATCTACCATGGCACCTGCAGCTCTTGTGTTTCCAGCAAATTTCTTTGGACAAGGGGCAAAAACTGTAGGTAAGGAAAAAGGAGTCTTTTTAGAGCAAAGAACAACATGCTTCCTGCAAGGAAGGAGAAAGGATTTGCTCTGATCAGCAGCAGTGCCCCAGGAGCCTGGTCTCACCTTGCTGCAGATGGAGGAGCTGCCCCTTCCCATCTGCGCCGAGCCACAAGGATGAATGAGGCTCAGAAGCCCACAGCAGAAACTTGCAGAATAGGAACCAGACTCATTTTTTTCTACACATGTACACAGTTGTATTTTGGCAAATCCTTACTTGTCTTTCCAGTAATACTGTCCCCAGTGTCCAGATATATCTTCTATGCCAGCCAGCAAGTGATCCAAGAACTAAACAGAAGAGAGGATTTTGCTATACACTGGTTGCATGTATTGCATACGTGATGAACTCAGTCAGCAAACATCAAAAGCCAGCAGACAGAATGGGGGACATTTCCAGCAAGGTACACTGCTCTGGTAAACAAGAAGAGGGGCTGTCGGCCTAATTCCCCATTCAGCCCTACACATGTATCCCTTGGTTCTGGAGCACAATGAGAGATTTGGCTGCTTTCTTTCAGGTCTGTGCAAGCAAAGACTAATCTCTGAGGGACGGGGATCTGTTCCTTATGATACGTGCAGGTTGGCTAATGGCTGGCACATCCTGCATACCGGGCCTCAGCAATGCTCATACCACGTGTTTTGAGGACAGCTTGTCTCAGGAGAACAGTATCTTCAGGATATAAACAGAGATAACGTATAAATGAATACTCCACTTGAATAATAAGTACTGCCTTCCCCCAGGCACTTCCCACTAAATAAAATCATTGACCATACTGTGCCTTATTCAAAAACATTATGTTTTAAAACACGTTGAAGAATCCTGGACTGGTTGATGGTGCTCCTGTGAGCACTGGGTGGCACCTCCCAGCCAGAGCTGCACAAACAGGACCCCACGCTGAATGTCCCAGCTATGGGGACTGAGAAATGTGAGGACAAAAGCTGCTTCTTGTTCCCTGCATGCCTGCCTTCCAACTATCTGCATTGTTACCTTGTCTACTTAGCTTAATTGGTACATGGCCATTTTCAGCTCACATTTCCCAATAAACACATTTTCAGAGATGATTTACTATTCAGACACTAACAAAAGAAGAAAGTATTCTCTGTTCATTATAGGAAAAGCCTCCTCAGCCTATTGAACTGTTCTGTTAACCTCAGACAAAGCCCTGTAATACAACCTAATTGTGAGGATGCCAAACATTTTATACATGTCCCCAGACCTAACATCTCTATTTCCAGCTACTCAAAGAGAAGACAAAAATATTCCCGAAGGAGACATGCTTATGGAAGTGTGACTGGGCATAAGCAATTAGATTCAGAGCAGTACTTCACACTGGACACGGCGCATCATCAAATTAAACATCCCAGGCCACAGTTCTCTGCGGGGTTGTAAGCGTCAAACTGAACAAGACCCAGTGCAAAATCTCCCTGAGTTGTTCCCCACATTGCATTGCAGCTGCAGTGGGATCCAGCCTTGCTTCCCTTCAGCCATGCAGAGCCCTGGGGAAGGGTGCAGAAATCCCTGCTTTCTCCTGGAGTTGAATCACTCTGCAATGAAGTCCCTGTAAGCAGAAAGGCCAACGTCTGGATGGTGAGAGCAAGGTGAACCAAACCGCACCTTTGGGCTATAGGGACTTCAGTGATTCCGTCCAATATAGTGTTTCTCTTACTCTTCCTGGGTTTTGTTTGTTTGCTTTTTAAATATCCAAACTGGTGGTGCTGAGGCAGGTGCCCCATCCTTGGAGATGCCCAAGGCCAGGCTGAATGGAGCGTGGGGCAGCCTGACCTGGTAGGGGCAACCAGCTCGGGGCAGGGTTGGAACTGAGTGATTGTTAAGATTCTTCCAACCCAATCCATTCTATGATTTTCTGACAAGCTTTTGGGCAAGCGACCATCTTCATCTGCCATGTTTGTGCATCACCTTGTGCAACACTCAACTGAGTGAAAGGTTATCAATGCAGTAGAAATAATAACCCCTTGTTAGAGAGCTGCATAGGACTCTAAACCTGGAAAGAGTCCAACCTGCAGAAGACTCAAGCAAAATCAACAAGAGCTTATAAGGCTGTAGAGTCCCGGAGGCACACTGCATTGCAGAAGGACTCTATGCCCACCAGCAATGGCTTGAGCTTCTCAAGGGCTTGTGTTGTTGGATTCCTTACTTACCCGAATGTGAATCTGCTCACCCACCGTGGGAGCACTCTCTCTTTTCCTCTTGACATGCAACAAGTCTACAAGAGGGCGAATGGTCATTCCCTGCAGCAAAGTCACAAAACCAAAAGTCAGGCTTTCTTCACATCAAGCATTCTAGTGGTGCCTGCATTGTCTCTTTTGGAGCAAACTTAGGAATTTATACAAACCACACCTACCACAGCCACTGCAGCACAAGTAACTTTTCTGGTAGAACAAAGCCTGCTGTTTGAGCTAGCACCTCTGCTTTAAGGCAGAATAAAGGAAGCTTTGACAACACTGGAAAACCTTCTATCTGCTAATGTTTGTAAGCAAAACATTTTGTCTGCTTGCAGAAAGCAAGTGTAGTCATAGTTTGTCAACAGCAGTTCACACAGCCTTTAGATAGAAGTGGCAGAGAGGAGCAATGCTCTGCCCTCCAGCATCTCCAAGATCACAAAAACTCAACCAGTAACCTCAAGGTCAAGCCCAAAGTTTGCTATTGCTGTAGTCTACCAGATGGAAAGAGGCTTGAAATGTCCAAAGTTCAAATGCCCGAAGCGATGGCTGTCCTGGAGACAACTGAGCACACAGCCCCTGCCAATGGTGGCCCAGACCAGAGTGGGTGACGTCTGCTCACTACTTAAGTGCCACAGATCATTACTTCAATGATCTTTGATCATCAGCCAGTGGCTAAGTTTGCTAATCAAAGTATTCACCTGGTGGGAAGGTCAAGGAAAGAGTTTTAGAGTCCTTTAAGCCTTGTGAGTGAACTTTGAAAATACTGCAGTAATGCATTTCCTAGTCAGGCTTCCTTATGAAACTTCTTTTCTAGGACAAGTTTACAATAAAAACAACGGAGCAGTTAATATTTATGACTTCTGAATGTCACAAATGTTGGCACAGAGGAGAGTTGAATGCATTTTTAATAGTAAAAACAATTAATGTGCCATTTTAATAGCTAATAGCAATTGAAATGCATAATTATTCAGAGTAAATAAGAAATATTTGAACTTCACAAATGAGATATTACAAGAATGAACTACAGACAACACATTTTGGACTCTTGCCTTCATAATAATCAGCGACATTTCTATTCATTTTAAAGTGGTGTTTTGGAGATTTGAGAGCAGGACTCCCAGACTTAGAAGCACCTACATACCTGGATTCCTTACATCCTTCCTCACCATGGGAGAGCTATGAGAATCCTATATGTCTCTCAGGCCACAAGACCATGTCATGCCTGTAGGTCCCCCATGACCTCTACCCACCAAGGACAGCTTGCCCAAAGAACACTGCATGATGCTGATGGGAGGCCAACAGTACCCTGGGCTGCATCAGCAGAGGGGTGGGAGAGGGCTGGAATTGAATGGGGTTCAAGGTCCCTTCAGCACAATACAATACAATTCTATGACATGATGGCTATAGCACAGCTCACACAATGGTTTTCTACCAACAGCAATCCAGTAGCTAATGGGTAAATATATTCAGCAAACAAAAAGAAAATACAAAAGACTCTATGATGATGATTACATTTGCTAACAATTTCGAAGAGGTCAGAGGTCAAAAGACAGAATGATTTTTAAATGGAAAGTATGGTATTTGGTTTTTAAACCTCACACAGACTGAACAGCAAGTGCCCTCTGTGGCATTCCAGATGAGCCCACAGCTCCTGGAAGGACTCCGGTTGGGTGGCACCAAGCCAGGCCCGCCTGCAAGCACTGAGGACTTGACAATTGCTCAGCCAACCTTCCCAAAATTATTAACCAAATCTCTTGGGGGAAGGGCCTTATGCAACTGAGTTAGAAAGCCCAAAATAGACACATTTCCTGGGTTATATAAAGCACTGACAGAGCCATGTATGGACAAGCCCAGCTGTTTACACATTGGTTATTGGTCTGCTTTCCACACAGTGTGGACAGGATCTCCAAGAAAATGAAGTGGATCTGTTCTCCAAAAAGATGCTTTGCTGGCCTCCACCAGCTTCTCCCCTGCTTTCTGTCCCCTACCTTCTGAACAGTCTAAACACAAACTAAGACCCACGTCACTACTGATATCACTGTAAACATATAACAAAAAGACATTACACAAAACAACAGCAGCAAAAAAAAAGACAACAGAAATTGATTGTAGCCAATATTTCACTTGCTCTTTCCACCCAAAACAATGTGAAGGATGTGGGGATATCAAAGATATTACTCCTCAATTCCACATCCACCAATCTGCTGCAGCAGAGCTCAGACTTCTGGAGAACTTCCATAAAAACCAAGTTGCTGAATGCTCCCCCTAATACCTGCTTTTTCTTATTATCACCATTATTTTTACTGTGTTTTCCATGCTGTGTTATAACAATACTTCTCAGATTCAGCTTTGCAGCAAGTTTGCTTTCTCCTCACTGTTCTCATGACTGCCCCAGCTGCACGATGCTGCCTGAGCAAAGCCTGCTCTGCTCCCACTGAGAGCTGAGGATCCCCACGGGGATCCTGTCCACCTCCCACCCATCAGCATGGGAGTGACATCACCAGCTGAGCTTTGAGGTTACACAAAAGCCCTTTCCAGGTCCTGGAAAGGATTTCCCAAAGCCTCGGCAGAATGGAGCTGCTGCCTTAGAACAACCTTTGTCTGAGCCTCAAGAGTGTCTCTGCATGAGCTGACATGCCTAGTGACCGTATCTTTTCAATTTCTGACCCACATTTGCATCTTAAAACTTGTCACCCTCCACCTAACCACGTTCCCCACCCCCAGGCCCCCGCTGTCTCCCTTCAGCATGCAACAAGGCCCTGAAACCTGCAAGCCCAGCAGCACGTCGCACTCATTGCGGATATTTTTCAGCTGCTGGCGTGAATTAGGAGGACTTAGGAACGAACACAGCCTCTCCTGTATTGCCTGAGCACCCAGAGCCCACACTGCAGGGTTCAGGGAGGCCAAGCGGAAGGAATCAGCTCTCCCTGGGTGATGCTGAGCCATGGGGCCACTCAGCAGCTGACACCGTGACCCCGTGTCCTAGAGGCCCTGCAGCTGTTCTGCAGCCCTATCCTGGGATGGGGAGGATGGACATCCTACACCAAGGAGCTTTTCCAGCTCCCATCCCACACACTTATGCCTGCTCACCTCCCCACCATCAGCCCTGCTCCCTTCGGGACCCAACGACCCCAGCGTTTCCACCACATCCTCGCTGGAAGCGGCAGCATTTGCAAGGTGAACCAAAAGGTGGCTTTTTGCTGAGAACCCCTGAAAGCAGCCCCAGTGTGACAGGCTCGCAGGGAAGCTTTCACCACTAGATGTCAGAGCAGTGCCTGGCGGAGGGAAGCTGCCGAGCACCTGGAGGGGCGATCCGAGAATGCGAGGAACGGGGCGGTCCGTCACCAACGGGAGCAGTCCTAGCAGGAGCACATCCACAGGCGAAGTCCAGTACGAAAGGACTTCGATAGGAGCTCCTACAGACTTCTGTTGGGAGCAAGACAGGCACGTGCCCACGCTCAGGAATCCCCTGCTGCCCCGAAACAAGACCTTCATGTTGTTGCAAACCCACGCCAGATGCTCGATAGGAAAGAAAACATTCATTCCATCTGCAGCATCTCATCTGTTAGGGTACAGGGCAATGGCATATTCTGGATCTTTTTGCATTCTCTCAGCAGTTACAGAACACTGCCATAAATAAGTGAACTCAAAGTAGCAGTTTCCCTGCAAGGTTTTTGTGCTACAACTAAAGAAGCTCTAGGGTAGAATGGGAATACAGGTAGCGACTGGACTCAAAGATGAATTTAAAAAAAAAAAAAAAAAAAAAAAAAAAGGAAGAAAAATCAGAGGCAAATAAATCAAGTGTGCTATGACTTATTTCTTTTGATTTTCCTCGCTTTTACAAGAAGTAACACACCCACATTTCTTGCAGCAGAAGAGTTAGCGCAAGCCCCTTGCTGCTGAATCATCATAAAATAATTGCAGCTGCTGTGCTGCGTGAACATGAAGACTTCTCAGGTATATACACAAAACATTTTGATCAGCAACTACTGAATGGATATTGCTTCAACTGTTGGATTCCCCAGTAAACTGGGACACATTCTTAGAAAATTCCTCCCAGTTTCCACCACTGCTGCCCCAATCAGGATGGATCAGATCAGAAATAGGACATGTTGTCAAGGAAAAGGCTACAGCACACGATTTAATTGAACAAAATACAATCAGCCTCACAAATGCATCACACCTTCTGCCTCTGTAAGTAGCAACTTTTTAAATATTACCCACCTGGACACCGGACACAAAGGGAATTTTAATGACCAGTAAATTCTCATACACATTAGCTTGTGCACCATGTCTAATGCTTAGTTCTGGTTACTCATCTAAAAGACACAAATCGTGGTCATTCTCTACATATGCTCATGACTGTCCTCTGGGCTGAGCGTTGTTACCTGTGCAAACACAGTGAAGAGGATCACCACAGTGGTTGCTGCAATGAAGAGCTTCTTTCTGCGAAAGTCAGGAAGCAAGAAGACCAAAGAGAAGCAAATGGCACCACGGAGCCCCCCGTAGGCAATGATGAATTGGTCCTTGCTGGTGACAGTGTTCACATGAAATCTGTTCACAAAGAAGGTCAGCACCAGAACCCCTGAAAACAGGAAAGAAGGTGGGGACATCTCAAACAAGAAGAAATCGGATATATTCCTCATAAATATATCCAGTAGATTAATTTTCTCAAGATTGAATGATATATTCAATAGCAAAACGTCACTGAACTCTGAGCACTAGGCCAAGCAGGGTACCTTCCCAATGCCATTGGAACCCCAGAGCCCTGGAGAAGGGCTTTTCTTCCAGCCTCAGTCATTCCTGGCCTGGGGGAATACAACAAACACGACAAACCTTTAAGTAAGAGATTTATACTGCTCAACTTCAAGACCATGTAAGGTGACATGAGTTGATGTAATTTTCATTCATCTGCAAATACAAGACAGATGCAGAAAGATACAAAAAGTCTGGCCTTAAAGCTCTAAGCCATGATCTTAATGCCAACTGATAGGACAAGCATTTTATTTCTTGAAGATTAACAGCCATGAAGATCAATGGGAAGCTCCATTCAGGGTGACACATGCAGGATGATTTTCAGCCTTAGTCTGGGTGTTCTTATTTAATTCAGGGGGACCTTGAATATAAAGAGCGCTTTCTTTGCTGGTTGCAGCACTGAGCCCTCCTCTAATGTATGGTGTAATCTGAGTGCAATCAGAATGGCTGTGTTGAGAGAGCCGGAGGATTTTGCCAGGTGCTTTGTAACATTACTACATTCCTTACCTCTTGCAACGAAGAATTTTCCAACTAAATAAAAGTCAAAATAACTCAGAACTTCTTTTCATCTAAGCAAATAACTTAACAGAAAAAAAAAGTTTAATCATAATAAAACATTTCAACGTATGCACAACCAATAACTGTGTTTCCAAGTGCATTCGCAGTGCAGTTATTAAAACAAACCTTGGCATGTATTAGCAGCAAATAAAACAGATTCTGCTACGTATACGTGCTAATCATGGCTTAGCCTATTTAAGCAATTTCTTGAAGTGCCTATCAAATTTGAGTTCAAGTAAATTACCATTCTGTTTGACTCAGTGGTTTACAAACATAAATCCCATTGAATGTTTTGTAGCTATCAAGTCTTTGCCAAAACGTGTGCTCTGCTGTATCTGCAGATATTGTTAACATATAAAAACATTCCTAGATAAGGAAGATGTAGAGTCCCCTCCATGGAGCTCCTGGGCAGCCCGCTGACCCTGCTCGGCAGGGTGGGTGGACCAAACAGGGACAACAGCAGCTGATAAGCTGTGGCTTGCCTTGAAACAGCTCATTTTCTGTGCCTTGGAGACCAGTTCTCAAACTGTTTCAGGATATCATTCTCCTACTAGCATTTCACAGTCATTCCCACAGAGGGAGAAGACAGTGAAGTGTTGTTTCATATTTCCTTTTCATGTCACATCACAAAGATTTGTTCCTTATGTAATCCCAAACAAACAACAAAAAAATAGCAGGATGTTACTACACCCATAGCTACTTACATTCCTAAATATGGTAATTAAATCTTTGTTACACGTGTATTCTCATATTTTTGCCTTTCACCTCCCATTTTAGGTCCCAGTTCTCATCTACCCACAAATAATCTGCGTAAAGCATCTCCAGGGACAGCTGTCCAACGGTTCCTCCAGTTTTCCTTTTAAGGATACTGCTGTACACAGAGGTTGTTGTCAATTAAATCCCCTAAATCTCTGCAATTTAGGATATGCAGCCAAAGGCCCCAGGGTTTTACGCAGCCCTGATCCCAGGGTTTGCGCTCACACTCTTTCTCCAACTGTGAAGATAGCAAGGGACCATGATACACTGAAATGGAATAGGAGATCATGATAATCAAAGAAGGGCCTAGGGCAGATGGATCTATAAATTAGGTATGATGAGAATTTCTATTTAGCACCAGTGCTGTCTGTGATGATTGCACAGACTAGAAAATTGCAGTAGGGTTACTGACTTGCTTTTGAGCCCCACAGCAGTGCTGGAGGGCTGCAGCCAGCCCATTTCAGCCCTTGTCCTTGTTCATGGCAGAGGAGTTGGATTAGGTGATCATCAAGGTCCCTTCCAACTCAAATGATTGTATGATTCATATCTGTAATAACCACACATGGAGAAACTGGAGAGGTAATGGCAGGGGCAGAAGCATTCTCTCATTAAACAGAATCATAAAGTTCCATTCAAACAACAACCACAACAAAAGAGCATCATTTCACCATACCTAGTGCTCTCCAAATCAGACAGAAAACGACAGTGAAGAAAATATATGGCCAGTTCCACTCGTGATTTTCTCCAATGGTAGACACTCCAAGAAAGATGAAGATGAGGGTATCACTAACACTGCTCCACATCTTCATGAAGTATTTGACCGTGGTGTGAGACTTCAGAGAGATGTTGGCCTCCACATAACGTTTCATGCCCATGGCACAAGCAATGATGCTGGGAAAATTAAAATGAAACATTTTCCTTCATAAGGACACAACACTGACACATTATTATTTAAAGAAAAAAATATCAGCTTTATCAAGTGCCAGATGTTTGCAGTGCTAGTGATTCACTTCCTTCAGCCCACTAACATCAGCAGGACAATCAAGACAGTAAGATACTATATAGGTTGACCAGACTGCCCAAATATTTTCACAGATAAACAACTTCATTCACTGCTGTTGTATCACACAGCAATATTTCCCATCACTGTATCCAGCTCCCAGCACTTTAACTATACCTATCTCAAAACATCTGGGCAGAAGAGTTTAATTCCTAGGAGCTGTTTTCCTGCATGGGAGTCAGACATCTGAGAGAAAGGGAGAGCACTATGTGCAAATAGGACTGTTGTGAAGTGTTTGCTATGTGGTCACTACAGGAGTCTCTTGTAGGACTAGAAGTTATAATAGCTTAAGAGCAGCTTGAATGGAAACACAAACACAAAACATACCTCGTTCTGCATATTTCCAAGTCCATCCAGAGTTGTCCATTCTCTGGATGTAGCCAAGAAGCCATCCAATATGCAACCAAAAAACAATAAAGTGTTCCAGCAGTAAAAAGAATCTTAATGAACGCTCATCAGGCTGAACAATGAGCCAAGAATTGGCTTCACTGCTCCTCCTAAGTAAATTAGAGAGCGTTGCTGGAGTCAGAACATTTGACTTCCTTGTATCATGTACCCAAGGTCACTTCGGAAGCACACAGCACCAATTAAAACTCTGCCTTGCTATTTTTCATGGCTAATTGGTTCTTTAAGTTACAGGGTACATGTATTTAGTCTAATTCATCAGCTTTACAAATCAATACATATTCAGGCCAGCAGTCTTAGAAGGTCAGAGCAACCGGCTGCTCAAAAAGTCAAACCTCCATTTTTTGTATTTTGACCTGGACAAAAACATTTTGTTCTAGAAGTGGTACCACAAGTGGTAAAATGGTTTTACATTTCTGAGATCTGATTTTCCCTGGCACTTGGTAAAGCCATCCACATGGAGTACTATAGATGACAAATTCCCTTCCCAGGAGACTTCATGTAACTGCTGTTCTTCTTCACCTGAAGTACTGAAAAGTCTTTTTCAGATGAAGATGCACTTTTCCCCTCTGTGAGTTGCTGCTTACTTGACTTGGCATTCAAACAAATGACAACAGCAAATACAGATATTTCCTTTTCTTTCATCTCAAAATAATTATGTGTTTTCCCTCACTGCCAATCAGAAATCAAAACTGGAGTTAAGGGAAGGACCAGGAGAAAAGGTGCAGGACATGGAAGGTCAGACACAGAAATGCCACCATGTTCTCACTGGGGAAGGAGAGTCTGTTTCACCTGACACAACACTCAAAAATCCCTTTTTCATCCAGTATCCAAGTTTATATCTTCCACCTAATAAGAAAAATGTGTCACTATTTAAAAACATTCCAAAATTGAACTTTTTGATTTATCCCTGTCAGGCTGATCCACTTTGCCTTAAAGTGCAGCAAAATAAAGTAATTTTTCGGTTTCTGTATCTGCCTCAATAAAGACGGAATAAAACAGATCCAACTAAGAACTAAGAAACCCAACACGGATTTATGGGCAACCAAATTCCAGAGCCATGGATTGGAAATCCTTCTTGGAAAAAAGGATAGGGGTTCAGATCATTCACAAAGAATAAATTTGATCTTTTTTTCCTCACAGCTTCAAAAGATGGGCACTGACACTGGGACAAGGAGGAAAAAGTATCTGTGTGTATATATGTATATAGAAATGTATGTGAATGTATGTATATACAGCTAAAAAACATTAGCAGAAAAGTTTAGCAGATCGAGTTGCACTCAAAAGGTTCTCAGACTATGTAGAATGTATTTATTTATTTTTGCAATCAGATCATTTTCAAAAAGAAACAACTGCCAAGGTCTGTTTCTCATAATACAGTATTCCCTGATCACCAATGAATAGTTTGAAATCAAGACATACAGAAGAGGCATTTATAATTTGGCAATTGTAAGACTGGTATTGCAGGAATCAACTGCCTTCGCAATTGTTTTGCTTTAGAAACAATACATTATTCAAAAGAATAGAAAATGGGTTCCATAATGGGTACAGTAGATTTTGATTGATAGAAAGAGACACCATTAGGATTGAATGTTTTCTGCTCCATAATGATTATGCAGCACATTTACTTCACCGTTCCGTCTTTTGCTCCTATAAATAGGTTTTCTCTTACCTATTCCCAGAGCTAGAATTTTTGTCAGTAACGCCAGAATATTGCTTGTATTAACTGTTCAAAGAACACAATCTGCAAGATACAGGAATAGTTTATAGACAAAGAAGTATCATTAGTTTTAAAATCAATCTCCCAAGCGCTCCTGTATCTCTCTGGAACCCGGCTTAAATTTCTTATTTTTTTTTATCTCATTATCAGATTTACAGTTGCTTACACTGTAGCTATCAATGGAGCCTTAGTATACTTTATAGTCTTTAGGGAAATATTAAATGGTCAGTTGTGATCCTCAGCAGCAGCTGATTTAGTTCAAGTTGTAGAACCAAGCAACAAATATCAGCCCACAGAAATCAGAAAGACTGAATCACCCATGCTTTGTTTTTAATCTGTCTCTGCTTTCCAAGGCAAGGCTTCTGCTACCGCTAGGATTATTAGATTTATTTTTCTCAGCACCAGCTCCTCAGGTGAAATTCATAATGACGTAAGCACAAAGTCAATCATCAATGTATGGAACTAACTGTGCTCTATGAAATTGCAAACAGTTGGGTTTAGTACTTTTGAAATCTTGCTCTCTGACAAACTTGGCTGAATTTGGTCAATAGATTTCAAATGCCATTAGAGGCAGGGAGGTGATGGACGGGCCCACCCACATCAAGTACAGAAATGCAAGACAAGCACACGAGCTTTGGCTGAAACCTTTTGGAGGTCAGTCAGAACCTCCAAGCCAACTTTCCAGGCAGAAATTTCCATTAGAGCCCTCCTCTCTCACACAGAAGGCATATTTCCAGGCTTCAGCTTTATAAGGGATGAATAGCTACCACCCATCACTCTGCTGTGCCACCACCAGGTCTGCTTTCAGCACACGTCTGGACACCAAGCCCCAGATGCCAGCTGGTAAGGCACAATCAGGGATGAAGCTAGAACAGACTTGCAGTAAACCTAACGACCACATTTTTCTGAGGTCATGAGGATTTGATTAAAGAATCCTTGCTGTTTTTCAAACGTTGTTTTTGGCTGGGCCTACCCCCTATGGGGCTCAAGTAACCATTCTTCAATAGCCTACTTAAATGAACTGGACGTTTGAAATTTGCCCGGCATTAGTGATCTGGATTGCCTGTGAGCTGCAGATAGTACTGCTTATGTGCTGTAGTGTAATGTGTGCAACGGGGTTACACCTCTCAGCTATTTCATACATTTTCATACTTTCTATTCACTGTCATAGACAGATTTGCAGCTAACTTTAAAAGACTTTTTTTTGATACCTGTTAGCAAATACAACCAAAAATCCTTCTTAGAGAAACGTGATGCTGGGGCACACTTACGCCACAATGCCAGAGAGGTGAAACATCTCTGCGGTGAGGTAGGAAAGGTAACTGTACAGGAAGACAAAGAGCGGCTCGATGACACGGATGTCCTTGGTGAATCGCGTGGTAAAGGCAGAGGTCATCCCAAAGGTAAGACCTACCAACACTCCCCCAATCCCAACCACAAAGAATTTTCCAACTCCGGCGAACACATCCACCGTTTTGATGGCTGGCATTTCACAGAATGATCGAAATAGCTTGTAGAGCACCTGGGTGAAAAAGGGAAAAACAACCATTAACAAAATCATCACCAGACATTGCCACCCTTCTTCTGGACACCAGGGGCTCTCACAGAGCCTGCTTCTCACCACGGTCACCGCGTCATTCAGGAGCGACTCGCCAAAGACCAGGATGTGCAGCTTCTCGTTGACGTGGATCTCCTCAAACACTGCCAGCACGGCCACGGGGTCAACCGCTGCAATCAGGCTGCCAAAGAGCAGGTTGTGGAGCAGTGACACGTCCCGCAGCCCAAAAGCTCTCACTTGGCAGATGCCATAGAGCGAAAAGCCGATCCCAAACACGTTCCATATTGTCCCCACCACCGCGTAGAGGAGAATGGTGCCGATGTTCTCAAAAAAAGGGCGGCTGGGCATGAAGTACCCTGCGTCAAGGACGATGGGTGGCAGCAGGTAGAGGAAGAAGATATCGCTGTCCATGACAGGAGGTGACTTGTCGTTCAGGCCGTAGATGATGCCCCCCATGATGAGTCCCACAAATATCAATAAACAGCTTTCTGGGACCACAGAAGGCAGCTTGTTGTATAGGTGAAATGCTGGAAGGGGATAAACAGAAAAAAAACTCTGTTATCACCCAAACTAGCCAAGGAAAACCAGGTACCCCTTGTGGTGAGGAAGCTTCACCAGCTCCTACCTCCCGCAGGCTGCACTTTGGAGTACTGATAATAAATCAAAGGAAATAAGCAGTGATAATAAATTATGTTATTAAGGTAAAGCTGCCCAATCAGAAACTAGCTAAGACATCTAAAAGATATCAAACTTTCACTCTGCAATTCCTCACACCTAAAAATACACCTTTAATGTTATGCTAATATACAAAGAGAAAATAAACTAAATCATCTGTGTAAGTAAAAATGCTTCTGGGGTAATGTAATCCAGTTGGCATGCCAACTTTAGCACTAAGAGCATAAACAGCAGCTGCTAATTTTAAACACAATACAGATTCCATACATACAAAAAGATTAAGAAAAAAAAGAATCTTTTTTTATTAAATAGTATGAAAACTGTCACCACGTGTAATTACCAACACAAAATTAAAGGTAACATGAGAAAAAAGATCAAGCAATCAATCAGACCAGCCTTGTGCAACACCCAGTGTTTGCTAGAGAGAAATCCTGGCAAGCACCATAAGTACTAGATGTGGGTTATTAAAAGTAAGAAGGAAATTGAAACAAATTGAACTGGAACAGGAATAACAACATTAAAAAAATGTGATGATTATTATTTCTTCATATTTAATGATGAAGTTGAGACCTCATTCCATAAGATGCAGAACAGCAAAAAGAAAAGGCCATTTCTAGCCAAAGAAATGAAATTCTGATCAAAATGAATCTCAGAGACTTTTCCTTTCTGAAGGAAAAGGTGGTAAAATAACTTATATGGCAGGAATTTCACAGACACGATTACAATTCCTGTGTGGGGGACAAATAAAGAATATATAAATTCCACTCTCTCCTATCCAGTCCTGCAGATGAATACACATCTGCTTGCCTTACATTTCCTTTGGCTTTATCTGGCTCACAGGAATTTCACAGCAGCTGAATACGCTCCATGAAGGACACAGCAGCCACTTGCAAGTCTGATTAGCACTACACACAGGTACATTTGCAGAGCTCAGCATTCAGCAGAAAGTATATCTGCCACGTAACATGCGCATCTGACACACAATGTGCCAAGTTACCTCCAGCACCAGCATCGCCTGCTTCACCCCAAACAGCTCTGAACTCCAAAGACAACCTCCAACCCGTCCTGTTTCCTCCTGATCCAACTCATAAAGGCTATCTTAGGAAAGAACAGCCACTCCCTGCCCACCCCATCCCTCCTCACCTTCCCAAGGTATCTCACCTATTTTGGCCAAGGATGCAAGCATGATCCACAGCGTGATTTCGAAGGGGACTTGGACATGCTGATAATCCAGAGAGAAAAACGTGTGCTCCGTGGACGCATTGCCCTCTGCTTCCTCAGCAGCCCAGCTGCCATTCTCTGCCACTGGAGAACCGTGCAGGGCTCCCACCCCGGCGGCTTGCAGGAAGGAAGAGAGCAGGGCAGCCAGGACAGTGGCCATGCCCTTGTTCCATGCCCTCTGCTTCTCCATTAGCCCCAGGACTGTCCACTGCATGTATTTGGTCGCAGCTGCTCCTGTTCTCACCACAGAGCTCAGCCCTCAGCCCGCTCTTCTCCCTGTCCATCAGCTCCCAGATGGGAGTCCTACTGGAGATCCGTGCTCTTCAGCGCCACGTGCCCAAATGGGCCGACCCTTCAGCTGCCTGGTGCACTAGCTGCAGACCTCTGCAGTTCCTACATGGCACAGCAGCAGCCAGAAGCGGGCCCACCTTCCTGCGTTCCACCAGACTCTTCATCTGTAGCCCAACGCTGGCAGCAATGCTGCTGATAATAAAAAATTCCAATTAGTAATTCAAAGCAGTCATCGTTCTTGTGCTGAATTCAGAGCTGTGCTGGATGGATAGATGGACGGAGGACACCTGAAAAAGAATAAATTTAACCAATTTCTTCAAGCTTCTTCTTACAGCAAGAGCCAACAGAAGAAGTTATCTTCATTTCTCTTTGCTGCTTGAAAATGGCACAGAAAATCGAGTAAAGTTGGTAAGAAAAGCTGGACACATAGACAGACAGCAAAACCCATCTGACCTCTCTGTTCTGGAATGGCTTTGGGCTACACTGAGGAACACACAGAGTTCTGGTCTTAGGGGTTCTCAACAACCCCCAAACACCAACTGCTCACAGAAAGCCAAATGCCAGCTTAGAGAAAGACTTTTCAAAAGAATTAGATGTAGGATTATCAAAGAGGGGGGAAAAAAAACAAACACCAACATATTGGGTCAAATTCCTCCATTGTGGAGTTTCATTTAAGTTAATAATGCTTCAATAGGGATGAATAGAGTCCAAAGCACATACGTAATTAAAACAGAGGCCCCAGGCTGTTGCTAGACTGATCGATGGTCTCTGTGCTTCTCTGCAGCTGCCTAAATGACACCAACATTGAGCTGCCAGCAAGTTGCTGGTGACCCACTTTTCTGTAGGAAGCCGGAACCCATCATACAGACACACACCCACAGCTCTCAGCTCCTATGAGCTGCTTCTGATCTGACTTGTAGGGAGGAAGATAAACTTTGGAGCACAAGGGAGATGCAGTGAAGTTCTCTATCATTAACTATTCTAAGTCACCACTGTTAATGTGTATTAATCACATGTTGTTAGAACACTTGCTGACTTTTAAGCAAAGAAACCAATCTCCCATGAGAGCCATCTTAGCAAACCAAGTTTTGTAAATATACAAAGAGAAGTGGCAACAGATTCAAGAAGCTAGTGGAACTGCAGGCCAGACATTTGGAATACAGAATTCCCACAAGATTTTCTTCCTCTGTTCTCAATCATTCCATTCCACTGAGGCAGGAATGGGGAAAGGAATGAGGAATCAGATCCCTCATTACTTTTAAGGAAGGACCTTCCTTCATTTTTACATTTTCAGTTGTTTCACTCTTCAGTTCCAATTAAATAATCTTGTTGTTTCCCTTGACTTTACGTACGATGTTTCATTACGTGCTGCTTCTGGTTTATTCATAACTAAATGGCAAAATGTTTTTCCTGAGTGCTATGACAACACAATACTTGTTGTCCCTCTTGTAATGGCTATTGATAGTATTGAACCACTTTTTAATGTGAATACCATCTGATCATATGTTTACTGACATGGGGTTTGGGGTGTTGTTTGTCTATAACATAATGTACTTTCCCAATTTTTAGGTTTCAGGGCTAGATTTTGATCCCTATAATTTCATTGACTGGTCTCTGGTGAAAGAGATAGGGTTATGAGAAGATATTGTGTAATACAGTAACAGTGATGAGAATTCAGGACCCCAGAACAAAAGTGTTTTGTTAGAAGTATTGTTTTAAATGTTGCTATTATACTCCTTCACCAATGACAACAAAATATTTTTCCTTTCCTTACTTTAAAAGTGAAATATGTGATTATTTTTTTTTTACTTTATCTTCCTGTCTTGTTATTATTTCTAATTATACTTTAATTTATGCCTTTTTTTTTAAGCTATCGATGCGTGCATCACTTAATGAGAAAATAAATACACACTAAACTAAATCTCAATTTCCATCACCTCCTGAAATTCATGTATCTACCACTGAAATTTGTAAGAAAACTTGGAATGTCCTTGTGCTGTGGTACCATGTGGGCCTCAAATGAGGAGACATTTCAGTAAAGTATTTAAGTAAATCTTAACTATAAGTACTCAACATTTCAGAGCTTGTAGCTGATAATACAGGAAAATCCCACGTTGGATTGAGACCCCAAACACACCAAGCACAGAGAATCTCATATTACAACAGTAAGTGATTTGCCAAGCTGCAAACCCAGCGGATGGGTTCAGCCCAACACTGCAAAAGCACTGCAGCAGTTCCCACCGCTGCAAGCTTGTGATTGCCACACAAGGCAGCTAATCTGCACAGATATATTTCTTCTTTCAAAAGCTTGGGATTGTTACTCGTTCGTAGTCTCTCTAGCAAACAGTTCACCCCAGGACATCTCAGAGCAAGGCTCTGCTGTGCGCTGTGGGGCTTTGGTGCTTCACTTCTTCATCCCTTACATCTCTTCTGTCTTTTGAGCTATGTGCTGCTGCTGCGATCAGCCCTGTTCCAGCTGATGTCAGAATAACAGCCATTTGTTTACACACTGTCTAAAACTTGGAGACAGTCATTTCAGTTTATGAATGAGCAAAATCTTTTTCCCGATTAGAATGGAACCTGCTCGTATTTTCACAAGCAGTCACCTTCTTTTTTGTACTTCTCATTGCTTGCAGTTTTGTTACATTTCAATATTTATTTACTGAAGGCTGTGCATAAGCTACTGATCTTCTCGAAGAAGCAGGAGTGGAAAAGTACATATTTTCATTCATATGCAAGCCTACAAGCAAACACAGAAAGCTCACAAAGCAGACACAGAGTTTAGCAAGATTTAATCAAAACCAAAATTAAGACCAAGCCCTCATCACACTTATTGCTGGGATGGATCACACTCACAGCTTTTCTGGAAAGCAGAAATACAAAAGCCTTAGCATTTAATTCATACCATGCTGGTTTTTGCTGCAGCATATCAGAAAGCATCAGTGTGCTGAGAAACAACTCCGTGCTGCAGGAAGCTGGGTGAATGCCAGGCTCACTAGAATGGTTTGGGCTGAGAGGGTCCTTTAAGAACATCTAGTTTCAACCACCTGCTACAGGCAGGGACACTACAGGTCGATCTGCAGCCCACAGGGAAGAACATCCACCTAACATCAGGTTGGTGAATTTGCCGTACTGCAAACACCCTGACCTGTCACACACCCCTCCAAGCAACACTGCTACACACTGACTGCAACACAACCTCGAGTTTAACAACTTCCCAATTAATGAATTCCTACAGGGCAACTACAAGAGGAGTAGACTTTAATCATTTTGGCACCAACTTCTGTTTGGATACCGCTTTTGTCAGTAAGAGCTCGAGCACTCTGAGCAACTGCTTAAACAAACAGTAAGCTAAATGGCCTTCAGTATTATTATTTTTTTTTTTTCATCATTCTACCTGGGAAAGCCTGTATCTTTACTTCCAGTGCTGCTCTGCCACCATTTCAACCTTTTTGTGAAGTTGGGTGGCAGACACAGCTGTGTGGGAAGAAAGCCTCCCAGCCCACTGGGTTCTGCCCCTTCACTCAGCTGTGTCTGTTCCCTGACCAAACCACAGATCACCCACCAGGAAAATGCACTAGTCCAGACAAACCAAATGCTGAAAATAACAGCTGTCATGGTTCACCACTATCACAGTTCTGCAATCACAAAATAAGAGCCAAAGAGGAACAAGAAGCAATCGGAGCAGACACTATGCAGCATCACTTGCACTAAAGCTTGCACTGTGAATTGGTAGATCCAAGAACGCACAGCAGCTCTAAGACTATACAGCAGTACAGAAATTCTTCACTTTGGAGGTGTGGAGCACACCGTGCCTCCAGAAATCCATCTGATATCAATCCAATGATACAATTAACCCTGAGACCTCAGCTTGATAGGGTGACCAGCACCCACAGGTGGCCTCGCTGCCAGCCATGCTGCTGGGGACACACACTTCTAAGGTCCTGCAGTGGCTTAATGCAGCCTGGGGTTTCTTCCTGGGGAATAAACATAAGCAGATAGCTACCTCCTGGGGTATATTTGTTACCCAGAAACATTCAGCAAGTCTGTCTGAGAGCCGGGTTAGTGCAGCTGTGTTGCTGCAGCCAGTGCTCCACAATTCATGCTCAATAGCCGAGTGGTGAATGGTTAGAAAAGGGAAATAGCACTGTGTCAGTTCCTTTCTGAGCACACCACCAGTGCAGATATTCAGACACATCTTCCCACAGCCTCTCTTGCACAACGTTTGCATATGCAACATTTCTTGGAAAAGAGAGCAAGAACTGTGAAGTTATTTTTCTTTAATTCAAGTAAAAGGAAAGGAGAATAAAAGCAAACAAAATCTGTTTAAGACTTAAAGCCAGGACTTGCTTGGAAGTCAGTTTGCTATGTTCCCAATTCACAGATTTCCATCATTTGAAACAAAGCAGTAATATGCATCTCATATACACAAAAAGGTGCGAGCAGGCACCTGTGATTTCTCACTCTTCCCACATGAAACAGAATTCAGGGTCTTTGGACAAGGAAAAACTATGTCAGGATCAACGAACAACTGCAGCAATGAGTGACAGTGAGGGAAGCACACAGTGAAACAGAAAGCACTTCCCCAAAAGCCTCAGAAAAAAAAACCCAGCCCAAATCTCCGCAGCCTTGCTCCTTACTGCTCATCAGGCAAGCAGTAACTGGCTATTCTCCTAGAGCTTTATGCATGCAAGTTCAAGAAGGAAATGTTTTTTTTGTTTTTTAAATAATCCAGTATTTATATTATTTATGAAGTGGTATCTTAGTACCTTCATCAGTCACCCATTGGGCAACGTGGCACACTGTGCTTACCCACAGGAACTGCCTGACAAAGCTGAATGACCTGGAACACACAATGAGATCAAAGCTTCCATCTGATACCCTCAGCCTGCTCAGGACTTCATTAGCTTTCATTTCAAAGTAGTACGTAACTACAGAAACAGCAGTTTTATAGGTTTGAGCAATGGAAAGAGCACTGAAGGAATCTGGTCAGCAGCACAGCATGCAATAGAAATTCAGCAATGGAAAGCAGAAGTATGTTGTCAGTACAGATGGGGAATAAGAACAAAAAAAGCCACCAGCACAGTGCATTAATCATATTATTGCACAAAACAAGAATCTTTCTGAGGACCCTAAAACCTAAGTCAGAACTTACACGTCAGCAGCATTCCATGGCATATTTAGAATTATGGAGTTGTTTACTTGTAAATCCTCTGATACAAAGTGTATTTGCATGTATAACCCAACCAACCCTGTCACAGAGCCAACAGCCTTCTGAGACCATCACTGCCCTCAGCACTCTGAGAACAACCAGCTTTGTTTCACTTTGGTAAAGCAGCCATTTCCCATAACTTAAGGTCTTATTATTTATGTGAAAGAAAACACTCAGCTCTATATTGTGCCTTCAGACTTGCAACACCCTCCTTATGGTGTTTCCTACACCTGGATACAGCAGAACCTGAGATGTTGCAGAAAAGCCTGATACAAAGGCCTGGGGAGTGAATTCCAGCCACTGTGGCTAAGCAAAGCAAAGAACTTCAGTGGAAAAAGACTCACATTCACAGCAAAGCTGGTGCTTGGAGCACCGTGTGACCAGCATAAGGAAAATAAAATACTGTCCTGATAGACACGGTTGACAAAAGAGGGCAGAGTTTTTTTACAAGAGGGGCAATACCTACAGCCCATATGTGGAACAACGTGCCAGGGGGAGGGCATTGGGAAGGAGGGCTGCTGAGCTGCTGGGATCCAAAGGGCAATACCCAATTCTCTAACATCCCCACAAGGCCCGCAGGCAGCACGCACCAGAGTGGTACCCCATAGGGGGCTGGGGTGGTTACAAATAAGTTAACAATTAACCCCATGGAGATACGGCAGGAATTCAGCAGTGAGTTCTTCTGATTAAAAAAAAATAAAAAAAAAAAAAAAAAAAAAAAAAAAAAAAAGTTACATCAAATGCCTATGTTTTAGAAGCTTGTAGGTAGAACAGGAGCAACGTGCAAAATAAAAAACCAGACCTTCAGGGTTGTAGCAGTCAATGAACACTTCTCTGCAGGAATGCTGAATGAGAACTGGAAATGAAAGCTGCAAATTCCCTGCCACAATTTCTCCTTCCAGTTCAGATTTTCTAGCACACACATAGACAGAGCTGCCAGTCAGAATGTGGCCCCATGTGTGTGACCTGTAAAATAAGGCACTGCTTTCATTGGTAATGAAATCCATCTGCTGTCCTCCAGCAGTCTGGAAAAGCACACCTTGTAAGTGATTTTCCTGTGTAATTGGAGTTCATGGAGCCATTTTTCCTGTTAGTGAAAACAGGCAGAGCTCCAGCACAGCTGATGGAGATTTACTCGTTTAAATCTACAATGTGATTCAATATCTTTGTTTAAAAAAATAAATAAATTGAACATGCAGTGAATTAAAATATATCACTTAAAATAAAATGGAACTAAGAATGGTATCTAAGTGAACTGTAAGTTTGTCTCATCTTTTTAGAAATTACATGATTTTTTTCCTAAAATGTATTCTGCAACAGTGCAGGGATCTCTTCTTAAGTAAGTCACAATTCTGAGACATTATTTGCATTTTTTATTAAATCTGAGTAAGAAATATCAGGAAAACTACCCAGACAATACTTTTCCATGGGCAGAATTGTATAACATTAGTAACAAAACCTACTCCATGGTAATGTATGTTAAATGCACATTTACCTGCAAGTTTCCTATAGGAGTAGATACATGAAAATGCATTTTGCTTTTCCATCCTCTACATTCTGCGTTTATTTAAATTCTAAAAACCAAATAATCTCATATTTTTTCTGTTTGAAAAAGAAAACTCGAAAGTATGCCTGCAAAATGTCATGTATTTCCTTTACAGCAGCTTCATCTGCACCCACAGCAGGGCTGGTTTCAGCATAGCTGCTGCCACAATAATCTGACACACTTGTTGCCTCCATCAGCTTACAGTAAGGACTGTAATTCTAATCAAAGCTACAGATAACAAGCTTTTCTCACAACATGGCTCGCTGTGTTGTGTTTTCATTCTAACATTTACGTTATAGCTAAAATTGTCCACACAGAAAAGTGACTCAAAAAAGAGCTCTGAAAACAGCCCTGACATGGTTTGGGATCGATGGAGCTTTGTGGTAAGGCTGGGTTCTGCCAAATGCAGAACATCCATTGCCATATTCCCTTCCACCACTCCATTGCTCAATGACAAGAGGAGCGGGGCCAGCAAGGCCTGTCCTGATGCAGCAGTTCACAACAGTGCAGCTCTTGCCGTGCTGCTGTTGGTGCTGAGCTGCAGTGAGCTGAAGATGCAGAGTCCCCATCTTGAGGCTGGGAGGAGAGAAGCACAGCTTTGCTCTAATGCATTCCTCAGGGCTGGGAGGAAGAACAGAGAACACAAGGGCCTGGACCTCAGCTTTAAACTCTGACTTCTATACATCCTGAGGAAGAACCTTGTGCAATTAACTTCTTTCAGGAGGTTGGACTGAACTATAAATATGTCCCAGGGAGAATTAAAGATGAAGCCAGGGCAGCACAAAAGCCATAGAGCACTTTTTTCCACAGTTAATTGCAAACCCACCTGAAATTTTTTCACCTCACCTTCAGTTAACTTTTTCTCTGCACCTCTACCAAGGAACACTTCAATGCTGCCCATTCTGGACTCCTCCAGAATTTAATGAAGTCCTTTGGCCTCTTCCACTGGACTTCTGACTTGCATGTGAGCAAAGGTGATTAATGAGACATGTGGGATCAGGGCAAGGCACACTAAAAGCCAAGTGACTTCTGTGTCATCCTGTTAGAAAACAGGAACCAGCTTCACTATGACTTCTCACACTACTAACGTCAATGGGAATTTTTGATCAGGCAAAGGAGGTTCACTTCAGGTCTTCTCATGTATGAGTTTAATTGTATTTAATTACTTGCCACGTGCTCTGTAGAGATTGTCTTTGCTTGTCATTTTCATCTGGAGAGAAGGGTGCTTACTTGGGTCACCCAGATTGCTTTTCCTACAAGAGCAAAACCTTCTCAATCCTGTTGGTCCCCAAATGACATCAGTTTCTCCTTATACACTCAAAATATCCACCCTACACCCCACGCCCACCACTACCATGGAAAAGCCTACCTCACATTGAAGACTGCCTGCAAAAAAACCACAGAAGACTAAAAGTTAGGCATTCAAGACTGGATGCAAAGAGCAGAAATTGGATTTATTTTCAAAGGCAGCTTAGGAAAATGAATGCCCAGTGATCAGGGCAGTTCAAGAGAAGCATATTGCCTGTCTTTCTATAATTGCAAGCCCCAAACACCTCACAAGCAGGGGTATTCACCCCCCTGATTCTGAATTGGCTTGATGCTCACTCAGAAGATCTAACATAGCAGCCTTGTCTGCCAGCTGTTTGGTTGGTTTCATTTGGGAGCTTTGAGGTTTGGTCTCAAATTTGAATGTGCATAAACTATTGTTATATTGTTATATTGTTATATCCATGTGCTTGCATCTGAATGTGTGAATGTGTGTTAGCTCTTACGTACAAAAAATCACTTTACTCAAGTTCCACCAATCCTAAAAGAGATTGAAAGGTTTTAGAAAGGGTTAAAATCTTGGTTACATGAAAGTTTTGTAGTTCCCTTTCCGTAACATATGCTGCTACGTTTAGCAGACTGAGTGACATTACATACAATGAGTGCCCACACTGATGTCTCCGTGCTACCCCTACAAAAAGCCCCATGCCATGAAACTGCAATCGTTGCAGACTTAGAGCTCAGGAAGGGTTCAGTGTACTTTTTTTCTCCTTCAGATTTCTTTCCCTGTATAGGCCAAAACAGGTACAGTTTTAACTCTAAGCCCTAACACACAGTTTCTATCACACACACACAAAAAAAAAAGGCAACTAATGAAGCTAAATTACTTGAATTCAAGAGCCCCAAGGTTAATCCCTTGTGAATTCAGATCTTCTCGGTGTTCTGGGGTATTCTTTCATGCTCAGTGGTATTTTCATTATAAAATCCAGCACTTGATATTAAAAAAGCACAAGAACTGAAGATGCTGGATTAAAAAAAAAAGAAACACCAACTTTGATCTCTTCAAAGGAATGATCAGATGTCAAGGGCCTTGATTTACAAACACAAATACGTTTGCATTTGATGTATTATTACCTAGAGATCACAAGATCTTTCATATTCTCCTGAAGGGTTGACAGAGATTTTAAAAATGCATATTTTGCATCAGAGTTTAAGAGACGTCTCAAAAACAACCTTGGTTTTGGATTACATCAGATGTTCGATAGAAGTTCACTGAGAAGCTCTGCTGTGTAACTCATCCCATATTGATGCACTGAGTGCCTCTGTGACCCGGATGAAGTGACTTGATGAGTACATCAGCAGATGTTTTGGAAGCTTGTAGTTCCATAAATATAGTTTGTTGGTATATTTCGGAATTGGATTTCATGATTGCAAACCCAGAACTGTAGGTGTGTCAAACAGTGCATGTGAAGAGCTTTCCTTACTAGAAGAAAATAAATTATTAGTCTCATTAATATAACATTTCATAATGGTGAGACAGTGATTAATTTTCAGTTGAAATGCTTGCCAAGAAGAAACAAAACAAAAAAAAGAAGAAGAAAATAGGTTTGAATGCTAAGTAATGACATTTTCATATCACGAAGTACATTTACATTTCCAAATGAAAATGAAGGAAGATTTCCAGGAATGCTGCAGTAGTGTTAGCTTGCTGAGGTTGCATGAGCTTCATTTTCAAAGAAATACAGAGTCCACTTACCAAAAATACAAACTGAATATGTAATACACCAAAGGAAAGCTGAGAGGATTTCATCAAAGAAGTAAAATTTATTTAAAACATTTTTACAGAAAATATTTTTAAATTCTTGATCAGCTACCTCACCTAGATGTTTTGTGACACACTCTATCTATGCAGTATCAACATACATATGCAATGAGTGTCTTGATTGATGTTTCATGTTGATACATTTCCTGTGTATGATTCCAGACACGAAATAATTCAGTCCTGAGCATCTCCATCTGCTGACAAGATTTTCAAACCAAAGAAATCTTTTCCCAGCCACTGCGATCAAGCTTTGCAGAACAAAATTTGTACTTGAATACCCAAAACTTGAGCTTCAGCTCTACAGCACAATCCAAAGTCCAGCAAGGACTCTTACGTAGAGATAGGTGGATCAGTCTCTCAGATAAAAGTTTTAGCAGCACTTCTGCCTTGACTGAATACTTTTGCAGGAGTAAATCCAATGAAACATGAGTACATTACTCATACAGACAGAGTCTTACAAGGAGGTCATACACATTTTTACAGGGAAATCAAATAGAATTTTAGAGATGAATGCATTTCAAATTCTGCATGAGAAAAAAGAGAACAGTGACCTTTACGTTTTTACTCTGCTAATGATCATCGTAGACAAAGTATGGCTTAAGCCATTAAGTCTGTGGTGTCCACATGCTTTCATTTTCCAATCTAATCCTTAGAATGAAACATTGGTAAGTGACCTGTATTCATCTCTTCAGCTGAGCAGTTCAGACACGATGCAAGCCACGTCCTGCAGCATTTTTTCACACCTGCTGGGTTTGATATTTGCAAATTTGGAGTACTGAACTCAGAGCTACTTCTATTGGTAGTGTTGCGCAAACTAAACAAAGCTAAAGACTGTAAGAGCACTTCTCTGGCTTTTGATGTTTCTATGTTCTGCTCCTGGGATATCTGAGAGCTTATCTGATCCACATTACTTCTTACTAAGCTGCAAGTGAGGAGGTTTCTTACAGAACCACACCTGGTCAAGATTTCTTCAAAAAGCTGCTTATAGAGCTCCGCCACTTTTGCTTCCATATAGTCGTTGAGCTGAGAGTTTGAAAGAGGCTCCTCATAGAACATCATGCTCATTTCTCCAGCTTCGTCTCCAGACAGGAAATTTACACCTGGCTTTTCAGGATGCTCACACAGGGGAGACTGACCAAGAGGAATATCTACAGACAGTATAACGGGGCCGTCAGAAAGGTCATCACACACATGGTCCAAAACACAACCTGAATCACAGGTATGGTCTCCCACGTGGTCTCCCCCAATATGTAAGTCAGGGTAGTTCTGATAAAAGCTGTTGCAAGACCAGGATCGACACAAATCCGCCTGTTCATTACTTTGTTCTCTTTCGGGGACACACAAAGCTCGTGACACGGTTCTCCCAACTGCTGCCGTCTGATTCTTTGCAGGATCTGCTGCAGATCTCTGTTGAAGACCATTCTTGTTTTCCATTTTGTTACTTTCAGCAGAGATCTTGTCCAGATTCTCAAGTCCATCATCAGATCCTTTAATTTTTGGGTTGTCTACAAGTTTCTCTCTCCAGATTCCCTCTTTATCCTTTCTGGCTGCATGAGATTTGTGAGGCTTATCTTGATGACAGATATCTTTATATATGAGCCTAGTTAAGATGCCTTCTGCCAACATGATGACAAGTGTGAGTAACAGTCTAATCACCAGAACTCCATGTAGTTCTATGAGTGAAAGAAAGATGAGAAAAGTACTTGAAGCTCATTTGGAAAATATTAATTACAATATAAAATGAACAATGTATATTTTATAAAGTCAGATTGTGATTTTGCTTTTTCTCTAGAATATTTATTTTAATAAAAAGCAAACTGTTTTTCTAAGGATCTAATCTATACTCAGGTGGGGAGATATAGGAAGGGCATTCGCTAGGTTGTTCACCTCTAGTAACACACTTCTGTACCTAGGTATCTCTTCTGCATTGTGGCTAGCTGAGAGAGATGATACTCACGAGTTGTTAGTGGGTAAGGATTCACATAAATACCTGCAAAGCGATTTCATTTGATGGCTACATCATTATCATCAGTTACAAAACAACTTTTTCCATTGGAAGACAATTTCTATGCGCTCAAGAGCTGACACTGGAAGGAAATAAAAATCCAAGTCGGGCTTAAAGGTTTTACAGATTTACAAAATGCACAGAAATAATCAAGTTAGCTGATAGGTCTCAGAAAAAATCGGGTACATTTTATGATTATTTATCATTGCTTTTCAATTCACCTACTGTTGACAACATTTTCTTAAGCTCTTAAGGGACTTAGGAAACTTAAGTATTGTTTTCAAGAGACAAGGGCACTCAGCAATCTAAAGCTTGTTGAACATCAATGGTTGCAAATGTTGCTGTATTGCTTTGAAAATGCTTACAGTGCTAATATAAAAGCTAAAATGTGGTCATTGTAGAAAAATTACATTCTCTTTTAAATAAATAGTGCCTGCATTCTGGAACAAACCATAGTGGGGGGGGGGGGGGGGGGGGGCAGAGGAGGGTGAATGAAAATATAAGAGTACAACAAGCTCAGACTTACCAATTCCAGCAGAGTTAGAAAGCTGGATTGTAACATAGCCAGTAAGTCCCCGACTACAGCTGCTCTAAGGGAACAGTCTCCCATACTTTTTCTTCACTGCTGTCTGAGCAATAACTGGAATACATGTGATTCAGTTCCCCATTTTGTTTTCCTATAAAACAGAAGCGATCCCACTGGAAAAAGTGTGCAGTCTTTGAGTAAGGAATGGCAGCAAATCTGAAAGAGGACGTTACAAACATGAACTGAGATGTTTCTGACTGAGGTACAGTGCTGACCAGATAGGAAGTACCAAAATGCGCCACTTAAAATCAACAAGGATTACTAAAAGCTCAGTCTGTATGTCACCAGGCTGTTCAAAAACGAAACTGAATTCCAAGGACCACTTCTGTGTAAGTTTAGTTATTTATACCATTTCTTTTTTTGGAACAAACAGCTAAATTTACAGCCTTGCAGACTCTTCCTGGTGGAAAGAAATTGACAACTTTGTGAAGCAACTTCAACAAAACACCAAAACAAGGGAGAGGGGGAGAGAAAGAATTGAAGTTAGCTAAATTAGTCAGGAGTGATTAAAATAAGTCATCCTTCATTTCAGTTCTACCCTGGGGCTGGAAATCTGTATCTTTACCCATCAGATCACCTTACATTAGAAAAACCTTGTATTTGCAAACACAAAATAAGAACAAGACAGAACAAAAGCTGCTTTGGAAGTTGAATGCAGATTGCAGTCAGGAGAATCAGAGTCAACAAGATGAGCGTGTCATAATCCCAAGGCTAGATCTGAACTACAATGATTACAGGAAGATGAAATTTTGTCTCATTCACACATGGAAAAATAAGATTACACAATTACAACATTACAAGGGCTGCTCTGAAAGTAGTGCTTACTAAGCTTTGATGTCAGCCCACAGTGTCACAGGCAGATGCTGGTGGGACGGCAGTGGGGGCTGAGCCTTCCTTCCAATATCCCATGAGATTCTGTTGCCGCGTGACAGACAGCAGCAGAGGGGCAGACTGACAGAACGGCGTCTGACATGGAAGGGCATTTGAAGCCAAGGGGTGGAATTTAATTCCTCCATGCAGCAAATGGCACCTACTGACATTCATTGACACCCAATGAACATTCCTGGATTCCAACAGCGGATGTGGCCCAGCGAGGCAGCAGGTGCTACATTTCAGCAGCAGTGACAGCAGCACTGGCTCACCTCCATTGGTGCAATTTGTACGAGCATGGCACGCAGGCTCTTGTTCATTACAGGTGAAAATACACAGCTGATGGTGGTGACTGTGTTGAAAAACAGCGTTTTGTAGCCGAGAATTTGCTCTACCAGTGTCACTGTGCTCTTTGCATCTGTTGTAGTTTCCATGGAAATAAATTGAGGGCATTGCTTTCAGAGCAACCTGCCTACATAAACAATAACCATAGCAGCAGGTAAACAAAGCCCTTAATTTCAGGTCAAAACGCACACCTTCTGTGCATACAAACATGAAGTAGGAGTTGATACATATTTTTTTTTTCCAGGCACAGCCACTTCAACCGCTCATTTCCCTTGGAACCAGCAGTGCCTCCTTCCAGCAGCCCCACTGCCTGCCCATTTCCAAGCTCCTTTCTGCACATCTCCACATACCCCGAACGCGGTTTTTCGCTCCAGCTCCCTGCCGCCGCACGCCCTGCCTGCCCGCTCCCTGCGTCTTCCATCTCCTGTCACAGCACACAGCTGCAAACAAGCGGCTAAGTACGCTCTTTTTTTTTCTTACTAGGAAGTATTAATATCTCACAGGCCGCGCTGCTCCTCCCAGCCCGGACGCAGAGCGGCGGTGCCACGCCTGGGGCGCCGCTTTGTCCCCAGCGCGGCCGCCGCGCTGCAGCCAGGGGGCGCTGCTGCTGTGCGCTGGTGAACTCGGGACAGAAGCTCCCTCACCCGGGGCACGCGCCTCTGGGGCCGGATTGCAACGCGCGGAGGCGCGAAGAAGGACGGCACTGAGAGCCGTAACGACCAGAACCACCCGACCGCGGCACCCCTCAAACGCACCGCCGCCATTCCCCTCCTCGCCGGCAGCCTGAAAGAGGCGGAAGGCGGGGCGGAGAGCCGATTGACAAAGGCGACGTCCATTCGGAATGCCGGGGCGGGCCCGCCACGTTCGCTGAGTGGCGGCTGGTCTCCGTGGCAACGGCACGAAGCGACCGCTGGGAGGAACGGGGCGGCGCTGCCGTCGGCGCCGCCATTCCGCTGTGAGCGGCGCGCCGGCGGCGCGGGAAGGTGGGCATGGGATTGGGACCGCGAGTGAGGCGCGTAGTGCAGCTCGTGGTACCGAATGGTAGCGTCAGAGCACAGCATCTTCCATGCGATGCGGGTCGAGAATAGCGAGAAACGGGTAAAAGCCCACGTTAATCCGTAGGAACTGCACTGATTGCAGTTGTAACCTGAAACAGCAAGTTGGGGAAACACTGTGTGCGCACACAGGGTTTGTTTCCCCGACAGAAGTGTAACTGTGTTACCGGCACTGGTTTTCTCCTAGAACCAAAGCGTAGCGTCATACCACCGCTGGGAAGAACCCCTTGCAATCGGCACAAAGCTAATGAATTACACATCTCAAAAAAGCCACTGGGAATGTTTGGCAAGCTTTACAGGCACGGGGTGAAGTTGATTGCCCGGCCTGCTTTCAATTGGGAACTGCCTTAGGCAAAGAGTGGGAAACATTTCACTTCATGTAGGTGCATCCCAAGTAATTAAAACCCATTAGCTGCAAAGGGTGAGAGATCCAGCAGATTCAACATGCAGCAGCAATGGATATGTGACTTTGTGTTGTTTAGATGCTGCACTTCAAAATCTTGCATTTTCATTTGGAAACTCCGCTTCTTTAACCTTACAGTTCACTTCAAACCATAAATAAAGCATGCAAAAAAGTCAATAGTGTGAGAAAGCATTCTAAAACGGTTTTATTGGAATGATACAGGAATGGTTAGTAATACAGGTTAAGTCCTGATTGCCTGCCATCTACAAAGGAAAACAAAATGAGAAACGAACAAATTCAGTTCTTGTGTCCATCATTAACTCAGGTATGTGAACTAGAAAAGTAGCATAGAGGCAACACGTTGCTAGCACTGCCAAATTCAAACAAGATGTCTGCATCAACATTGTCACACAGTCCCACAACAAAGATATTTTAGGTATTTTTCACTTTGTGTTGCTGCCTTGTTCCCCGGACAAAGAAGTAATTCAGTCTGTCTCAACAGAGCTTTCTTAGGAATGCTGATACAGTTTGAATGCTACCATATGGCAAGGATGGGGGACCAGACCAGGAGAGTGAGTTCGCTTTCTTAACCTGGTAATTCTCTCGACCATCAGAAACAGACTGACCTCATTTCAGAACGTTCTGGGTCACTGAACTGACAGAATTCAGCAGTGACTTTCAATTACAGCTTCTTCCAAATAATGACTGTAATTCACAAAACTTACTTTCCTTACACAGGAAACACAGGAAATCGGAATGAGGATACTGACTTGCGTGTCAAATTCCACTTTCTTCGCAAGGCTTCTCTTAGTATTCTGAAATACTTTCTCAAAAACTTGGCCTTCAGTTTAGACATAGAAAAAGATTACACAAATATGAAGAAAGAAAAATCACCTCCATTTTGAAAGATGAAATTACAGTGAACAAGAATAAGACACTAAACTTACAACAGTACTTCCACACTCAAAAGATCTTAAAAATAAATTTCACAGAAATTCAGTAATTACTGATAAAGCTTGTTAATAAAAAAAAAGCACAAATGCGTGTGTAAATTTTGAAGGTAAAGCAACATTAATCTACCTGTGTGTAATTTGACAGCGTGCTTGCATTTTTAAGCGCAAGCTTTAAGCCAACTTGCTGGCTCCCAAATCAGAAAAGATGAGGGGTGAAATAAATGTGTATGTGCCTAACTTGGCTCCATGCTAGGTCCTGCACCCTCTGGCATCTCTGGAAGTTTCAACATGAACTCTGCAGAAGCAGAGCTGCTCTCCAAACACAGCAAGTAGCTGCATTTCTGTTTTAACAGATGTTGACAAAATCATTGGTTTCAGTGAATGAACAAAAGCCCCAAAGAGACGTCAGGGAGGGAAGTATTTAATTACTGCACTTTAAACCGTCTTTGTAAGCCGGAGTTGTTACTTCTATCCTGTTCCTAATTGGAGACTTTAAAACTATGAACTGTAAACCATTTTGTCAGGTCTCTGAAAAGCTCTGCATACATTTCAAAGCATAAATGGGAAATAACCGCATCGCATGATACACCGCAGCCTTTCGCTGAACTGTACCACCTGTTTCTTCATAAAGCAAAGAAACTCAAAATATGTGTATGCAGAGCTATTAGAATGATCCTCTGACTATAGCAAGGACTAATTACCTTTCTGTATTTTGATGCTTTGAGGGGATAAGTACATTATGTGGTGCATAATGCATTTTAAATTACTCACACATTTTTAAAACCTGCTTCTTATCCTTCAGGGCACTTGTAATTATCTGCATTTTTGCAGAACATGGCCAAGAAATTCAGGCTATCTCATGAGCACTGGGAGAACAGACAGGTTAATATTGCACGTGGTAAATTCACCAATACAAGACACTTTAATGGGTTCACAATTCCTGTAATAGCTTGATGATATGGCAATAGCAATGGAAATAAGCTTTTAAACCTTAAAAAAATCTTGGATAATTGCAATAATTCTTGCTATTCCAACATTTAACTTTACTCATTTGAAAAAATACTATATGAATCTAATGACTACTTGAACATGCATTAAGATGCCTAACACTATAAGCAGTGTGAACTGGTATTTTTGTAGAGAAATACATTAAAGGCGTTCACCCTTACACAGGTAAGGAAATGCCACTTCTGGCCATTTTGGCTTAATTGCAACATTGCCTGGGAATCAGCATGTATTTCTTTGAAGTGCACTGAATCTCGCGCATAAACGTGTAACCAAGTCATGCTTAGGCAGCTGTGTGATGAACTTGCCAACGAAAAGGCTGTCCAGCGCCCACATCTCTTTTTCTTTGTCAAAAGAGCCCTCACAAATCACTTAAATGAGAAACACGACTTTTTTTTTTTGTCATCTGTACAGTGTGTTACAAATCTTAAATATCCATTCTACAAAAGAACATAACTTTCAACAGAGACTACAATGGTTATAATACACACCACCACCTACAATTTCATCTGAAACCAGAATTTAAAGACACTGAAAAGCTGTGTATTTCTGTAATGTTTTTGAGGCAACACAGGCACTAAAGCTGTATCTGACAAGGTTTTAGATAGTTGCTTTTTTTCCCCTATATTTTAAATAGTTGGATTCCTGGGTATAACCACATCTGTATTAAGATAGCTTCTTGAAGTTTACACAAAATGGACAAATTGCCAAGACAATTTAAACTATGTGAAAGCCATTCGTGTCCAATTGCTTCAGTTTCCTATGCTTATAACTTCGTAATAGTACACCCATGCTTTCTACCTTTATGTTCACATTTTCATCCTGTGTTCAAATTTGTGTTATGTATGGTGAATGCTGCAAGCACCAATCAATTGTTAGAAATCACATCTATATTTCTTGAAGCAGAGACAGTTTTACTATTTTATAAAAAGCTGTGGAAATTCCCTTTACAGAACATTAAGGCAGTTGAAATTCACGCTTGTTGCTTTGCCAGTGCTTCAGCTTCCTGAAACAGCAGAACAGAAATACATGTATTAGTACATTATGAAAGATAGCAATGTACACATACCTATGTTAGGCAGCAACATATGTCATTAAAAAATGCAGTTGTCTGTGATTAAGAACTGAACAGCACTGAACCCAACTCAAAGGATCTCTACTGCCCACAGTTACATGAAGTCACATAAGGCACTGCCTTCACCCCCAGTTCTGACCTAGCTCAGGCAGGACTCATAAAAAAATGTCCGCATTGTTCCCATTCCTCACCTTTCTGCTATGCATGCACAGACAACTTCAGTTGTGAAAGTTTAAACAGAATAAGAACAGATATAATGAGTTGTCCCTTGTTTATTGTTAGGACACAAGAACTCAGATCAGAGATTATTTGAAAAACTACAGACAAATGACAATATCATATATATTAATATATATAACGTATTCATTAAAAACTTTACATTGAATAAAGGGAAAAAAAGGGGGGAAAAAAAAAGCCTTGAAGAGACATAATTTGCTTTTCTAATTAAACACTACCAAACAACCAGAAACCACCATTTAGTTTTTGCCCTCCACAGCAGCCTGAGAAGTCAAAGAGAAGGAGACCTGCAGGTGAACTC